CTTTCAGACTGTGAATGGAGGATACTGGTCCAGAAAATCAGTGCTTTGCTATAGAGAAAGAAAAGGAAGCATCACTTGAGATATAATCTCCTTTAAAGGAAAGGACAACATCTGGCCCAACCAGCCCTCTCAAAAAGGACTACCAATTCCTAAGGAAGACTGTGAGACACTTTACTAACAGACCAGGATCTAGATTAGGATATTTCAGGGTACTAGCTGCATTTAACACAAAGGAGCTTCATTAGCGCTGTCATCATGGAGGCTTTAAGCTTTGCAAAGCGGTGGTTTAACCTCCTCTATTTCTATGTTACAGGTGTTTCTGTATAACAGGAATTACGTATCTGGTGTTATATGCCACAGCTGTTCCCAAATTGTGGTGTGTATGTTTGAAGTGCAAGACTGCAAAAATAGCTCCCAACTATTTGTGTGGAGGCTCACACAGGACATGCAAAGTATGCACTTTCTGATTCCTCTAAAAGACTCTAAAGAGGCTTGATTTGGGAGCTGCCACAGCTGCTCACAGACAAAATAGGCATACAACACTGAGGGCTGCAATCTAACTAACACAGTCTCAGGATACTGAGGAGATTGAGGATTGGAAAAAAGAGGAATATGCAGTTGATTAGTTGGTTTATGGGTACAGGGATAGAGTAGGGGACTAAAAGACAAAGGAGACATGCAGCATAAGGAAATGAAGGAAGTGTGGTTGAGGAAGCTGGGAAGTTAAGTTGGGGGGTAAAACTAAGATTTTACTATTAAACCGATCAGAATGTGGATATTATTGCATAACTAGTTTTTAGTACCTAAATCATGTATTTTACTGTCTCTACATTTATTTTAAAGGAGGATCACACATGTAAACCTATCGTGCTGAGAAAGAGCTTTTGAAAACCAGTTTAAGAACGAAGTAGAGTAGAAAGGTTCAAGAGGCTAGCAGAGGTGTTCGTTGCCATTATTTGGTTGCATTCATCCTGGAGGCAGTCAGCAGAAATTGTAATGCCAGAGGGCAAGGCAAGACAGGTCTTGCCCAAGAGAGCTTAATGTGTAAACAGTCAAGTTATTGAACCATGGGATGAGAAGGAGACACAGAGAGAGTTAATGGGTACGGTCTGGCAGCAGGCTAAGCTGAGTGCCCAGGTCTCCTGACTGGCCAACATCCTATCTCATAGCCATATGGTTCCTATCTGTCTCGCAATGAAAACACCAAGGCACAACCCAACAAACAAATATGCGCTCGTAGCTGTGACATTTGGCAGTGTGTTTCCCTCAGCTGTTACAGCAGGACTGTAATCAGAGAACTGAGTGTTATTCAAGATGAAGGTGACTTCATGTATCTCTTTTCCTAGTAGGCAGGTTCTGCCTGTGTAATACTTTGGAATATCAGTCTTCTTCTGCTAAACCCTGGATTGAGAGCCTAATATTTAGATACTCACTTGGAAAAGGTACACAGTAAGGTCATGAAGGTTGGTTACTGGGGCTCAGAGCCACTGAAGACACAGCCCTTTCATTTGGTGGCCTCAGGCAGAGCGCTCCAGGCAGCACTTCCCGTGGGAGCTACTTTCAAGCTAAACCTAACTCTCACTCTGCTCTGAGCCACAGCTCCTGCCACATTGCTGCCATGCCTGGGTCTGGCCACGGCTTTCCTGGTCCTGCCCCATCCCTGGACCTGCCTGGCCCTGGTCATCCTCCCCAAAGCTGCCCTGATCCTTTGCTTAGCTCCTGTCTCATTGGTCCGTACGGAGCTGCTGCCCCCCTTGAACCCTGAGCCGTGCACCGTGGGCTGCATGGGGGCTACCCTTGCTGTTTCCTCCAAGCCAAACAGCCTGGCTCGAAGTCAGGTCTCCAGTTCCACCAGCTCATTCTGCTCCCTGTTCCTTGCTAATCCCTACATACACACCCCTTCTCAAGATCTTAAGCAAGCATGAATACACCTGATCATTCACCTGATCACCCCCCACATACTGGAAAAAGTGATAAAATTCCCCTTGTATTCACCATGCAGGAGCTAACCTCTCTTCGATGATTAATTTGCCTTCTGACTTGTAAACATTATTTTAAATTTAATATAAAGAAGTAGAAATGGTTGTGCTGCCAGTTACCAATAATCAAGTTTCAAAATAAATTACAGTCTATGTTTTCCACACACAAAATGTTTTGAAACTTTCACTTTCTTGCTTGTTTTCCTTATGAATGTTATTTTCAAATTGAGTCAAATCACTTCAGCTACTTTGCAGTTACCCACAAGTTAAAAAAGAGCAACTGTTGGAAATTTAATAATATTTCTCTTGAAAGAAAGCTATTTAAAAACATTTCATGTAGGAAAGTGGGAGCTTGGCATGGCATGGGCTTAATCCCAGTGGATTTAACCAGTGGAATGAATCAGGATAGCAGCACTTAGAAATCACATATAAAAACTCTTAATCTTTCTATTAAGGACCTGTTCCAAAGCTCATGGGAATAAATTGTGGAAATCTTTACATAGATTTCTCTAACCTCTATAGGCTTAAAATTGGATGTGATCCCCCAATGTGAAGTTGATTTCTTAAGAAAAAACATAAATGCACTTTAATTTTAGAACACACATCTGAGAACTTGCTCTCCTATACATGGACTGATGAAATTATTTCCTTCTGGTCTTTGAAAGAAATCTAATGTGTCCATTGCATCTTACACAAAGTTAAATGACCTCTCAAAAATGCATTTTCTTGTGCTTCCTATGTATCAATATGAAGCTGCATATAAATGGCTTGAAGCAGCAAGGGAACATATATAATTATGTATATTATATATATTATATTCCTAAGAGCCCCTGAATCAATTTTCCTAATTTCACTGGAATGGGTACTGTTCTGTAATAGATTATATAGTAATTAACTCCAGCATTAGATGTAGCACCTTTTACGTTATGAATGCTTACAAGGCCTCAGAGGTTTTTTTTGTTTTAGAGCTACTGAGCTCTCACATGCCATTGTGGAGTGAATGTAGTACAAAGCCCTTACTTTTGACCTCCAAATCACAAACAACAACTAAAATGCAGTTTGACTTTCTCCACTGAAAGAACATGGCATGCATGAGTAAGAATAAGATATTCTGGTGATATTAAAAAAATCCTGATGTCTGCTGTGAATTTCAGAGAAATTTTCAAATGGTTTAATTTCATGTTCTAGGCTGAAAGGCATTTAGAATGGGAATCTGATTTTTCAGTTACATTGTCTGCAAAACCACACTTTAGTAAATAGTACAGGAGGAGCAACTGAAAAGGCAGTCTTGTGAAACAAGTTTAAAATATTGCTTTATGGAAGAAGTTGGATTTGTACTGAATTAGAAACCAGACCTGCATGTAAAATAAGGAGTTTTTTCAGTGCTGAGTCTCTTGCTCAGTGCTCCAGCACTCCTATTGGTGATAGAACACGAACACCTAATTTTGATTTGGAGCAGGTGAGAACAAAGCTGAATTACTGAGATGACCTAGGCTGGCTCCACAGAAGCTTAGTCAGAGGTTAAAACATTGACAAGCAGTAGGATGTTACAGGCAAAATACATTTTTCAGGGATATTGAGATGGTTCGGGCAGGCTAAGCAATATTCAGACCGAGAGATGAGGACATAGGAGACTTTTCAAGCTCTCCAAGAAGCTTTTATCAACACTGTTCTTATGGATGGAAGTGAAATCTAAGTTATTAATGGCTCTCTTAGATGTAAGACTGCATCTACATTGCCAATTAGTGTGCTGGAAGGATTCTTCCTAGGCATTGTCTTGGAGTCTCAAACTATGCAAGTGAGCACATCAGTGTGGTTCCTCAAATCATTCCCCTACTGATGGAATTGCGAATGAAGTTGCTCCCAGCATGCCATCAGGTGTGCAGTGTTTCTCACATAGACTAGTGTCCTCCAGCAGTTTGCACTTTGTGTATGCATTGTGCATACTCAGGGCCAGTAACTGGCATGATCTTCACTGACAGGTGAAGAACTGATGTTAATGTGGTCTGGCAACCATATGAATTGCAACAAACCAAACACTTTTCCTTCTGTCTTTGCACCCTTATCAGTTGGTGATGTAGTCACACCCAGTAGGAGCTTCATTAGGCAGCAGCTTGAATCACTTGACGAGGTAGCCAAGTGTTCTTTCTGTTGCTGCTAAATTTCTGAAGTATAAAGTCTTGACCTATCTTCAGCAGAGGTATGCAGTCACTGGTTTTACAAACACAGATATTATGGGGATCTACAGAGTACAGCACACTTCCATCATGGAGCTTGTGTGCCAGGGACTTTAAAGAGATCAAAGGCAAGACTGGAAATAGAAGGATCCTGTCTGACGAATTGTAACTATGCAGATGAATCATATGTGTTCTCTGAGAAGGAAATGTTAGCCAGGGCAAAGGCTGGTGTAGCTGGGAGGCTGTGCAGATAAGCACAAGGTATTTCTGCTCCCAAGTTCTCAAAAGTCACAATTTTGAGGTCAGTTACTCCAGATAATTAGACTAGATTTTGCCCAGTTTTAGAGCAGGTATGCAAAATCAAACAAAAAACCAACCAAACAAAAAAAACTCCAAACCCCAGTCACAGTAAAAGTAACTTCTATTTTAAATAGCAGTTAATTCCAGTAATAGTTACCACCTACAAAATTGCACCTGATTTCACATATTAAAGATTCAAGTATAGTTTGGAAAGCAACATTGAAGGGCTAAAATAGGAAACATTAATAAATATGCCATTTTTTCCCTGTGGAATGATCTCCAAAATGGAAAAGGAGAATAATTTTTGCAGCAAATTATCTTAAATTTATCTAAAATAGATATTTTTGATCAATAGCAGAATGAAAAATTTAACTGCAGAAAAAGTAAGTGCTATAGGAGTCACTCATCATTATAAAACTGAGCACATGCACATGTGTTTACCAAGTCAGTGATCTCTTAGTTTATAGTAAAAAGAAAGAGAAAGTTTGTAGTACTTTTCTGGAGAGAAGATTGAAAAGATAAATCCCAGTGAGCCACACAACAGATAAATTATACTGAGTTATCAAATGTTTTATTTTAAAGCCCACATCATGCTTATCTGAACTCAAGAGTTTGAGCTCCTAGTGTTATACCAATACTATTACAGCCTATTTCACTTTGATATTCCCATGTATACAGAATTTGGCAAACAATACAAGAAAATACATATTCCAGATCAGCTATTTTGTTCTAGTTCTTGATGTGTCAGGGAAACACTTTTATTAGTTTCAACTTCTTGTAAATTACTAATTAGTGGTCTCCATTCAAGATTAATATGTCCTGTTATAATAAAGTAAAATATGTGAAATAAGAACAGAGGATTGGAATAGGATATTTGTGGGAATTCTGTAACTATGGAGAAAAAAAAGGAAAAGTATCTATCAATACTTACCAAACTACAAGGAAAAGAAGTGCGATATGCATACCACAAGCAAAATGAATGCATCATAGCTACAACTGCTTATTTTTCACATTTTTCACATTTAAAAGTCAGCTACTAGAAAACACCTCTAAGCAACGATCTTTAAGACAGTGAACTCACATTAAAGAGATCAAAGCAGACTAGGCATTTGCAGAAAAAGTCTCTAGGAATGAGATGAACTCCACCTTCTGAAGGACTATGGGTAAAATAGGAAACATTTCTAAATTTTTAAAAGGCTAAGCCTTCACTGCTGGGTCAAAGGGGTTGATAAGCAAATATTTTTATTTGAGGTTATGTTTACATTGTAAATTACATAACCTAGGCACTGGTGGGTTCTAATGGTTAAAATTTACCATCTCCATATTGCTTTTTTACAAATAATTTCTATGTGCACATATGCATAACATATATAAAATTATAAGGACTCTCTACCAGAAAAAAATACCCCAAAAGTCAGAAAGCCCTTTAAGAAAACAGAGGAATAAGCCTCTAATAGGAGGATATTGGAATCTAGCTGCATGATGTTGTTAATTCAAATGTTTTCATACTCTTCACCTCAAGATGTACCATGTACATTTTATTTTTCTTTAAGTCAACAGACTTCGGATTTTATTGTGCTATGTAATAAGCACTTCTCCAGTAATTTCTTCTCTATGGAACTGGAACTATGCACTTAACTTCTTAGGGATTAATGAAACACAGTGATGCATGACATGAATGCCTTATACAGACTGCAGGAAGAGAAGCCAATCACCTTTACCTGAAGTGGGAGACTTGCAACGCTCTAGCTCCAGGGAAACTGGACTGTCACTGAGTTCAGTCAGGCCTGAAAAAACGGAGTTAAAAAGTTAAGTTACAATCTAACAGGGCATGCTTCAACTTCTTGGTTGATGATATCCTGCACTTTAATTTGGAGAAAGGAATAGTGTGAAATGTGAGGGAAATACCTATTTTGTATAACTACAGTTATCAGGCTGTCACTGCAGGAATTTAGGTCTGGTTTAAAAATCACACCTCCTGTTAACTCAGAGTTGTTTTCTGAGTGCCTCAGGGTAGACAAAGAGTGACTATCTAATGAGAGAAAACAAGTAAATATAGTTTAAAATTTAAATGTCTGTGATATGAATCAAACCCATTCATCCCTGTCAAACTGATGTGGAAACAATTCTGTGCTTTCAACTGCTGCATAATGCGGGGAGAAAACCCCAAAACAGGAGGAGAAAAAAAAAAAAAAAAGACACAAAAAAAAGACAGTATGGGTGAAAGAAGAAAGTGATTAAAAATATCATCACTACTATGCAGTGTTAGGAACTTTTATAGTCACACAAGCTAGCTCATTTTAAAGGACACAGAGGCAATGATAATGCTGTCTGAATATAACAGAATTTTTGGACAAGATACTTTATATATTGTTTATAAATATTTGTGAGGAACTCATTTGTGACAGCCTACCATGCAAAACAACAACATGTAAAGTAATCACTGTTTATACTGCTTCAGCTTGGGCTTGTTTCTGTGATCAAACCAAGATCCATCTTTGGCACAGGTTGCATGTACAAGTTTAAACACGCCTTTTGGCATGATGGGGAAAGGAAGTCTGAGCTCATGCTATCCTTTACCATGGGCTAACTGTTGAGTGGATGAACTGGGCATGGCCACACCTATTCAAATGTACCTTTTGTATGTAGCCCATAGCACCCTACAGCCTCTATCAAGTGGTTCACACTGGTTATAAGGAGCTCTGACACTTCATGCCATAGGGTACTTGGGACTGGCAGACAGTCCAGCACCACAGATCCATCTGCTAGCAACGCAGACTCAGCACTCAGGTCATAGAGCCCAGTGAACATTAGACCCCACTCAGATGTGCATTACTGTCGTACTGATACTGTGTTTACACACACTCTGCATATGTTGTACCCTGGAGGTCAAATGTCCTATCACGACCTTTCGATATGTGTTAATCTGGCATCATGCCTCCTGCAATGTGACAGGTTTTAATTTTTATGGCTTCTGGACCCTCAGCCTCAGAGACTCTCAACTCTAAAAGGGATAGGCTCTAATTTGAAAAAAATTCTGGTACCACTCAGTTTCGTATTAAAAACAGTGGGAACTTAATAAAGGTACTGATATTTTTATTACAGTGTAATTTTGAACTGCTCTGAGAAACGGGGAGAATCCAGAGCCCCAACAAGCAGAATAAAAAGCTCCTATCACTAATGAAGTTGCATGAGTGCTAGAACAACTTTGAGAGTGCTTTGGAGAAGCAGCAGTAATGATCGGGCCTGTTAAGTTAGTAGTAATGACATATTTGCTCCCCACATATAAACAACTAATGTTGAAAAACAGAGATTTTTTTTATTTTGAGAAATGTACTTGAATTTTTGATTCAACTTAGAGTCTGTGAGAGAATTTTATATTCCAATCAACTGTGAGTCCAGTCAGCACTGAAATTATGACAGAATTAATGAACTGCAACCATTTAGGGAGCCTCTCTATGTATAGCTTTCTTACAGCAAACCTTACTTCTGACTCTGGGGTTTCTGTATGTACCACAGATTTGGGACATAATTGATTTTTGCTGCACAACTGTCTGCAAGGTACAGTGGAAGGGAGTTTAGCACACTTGCATGACATCAGAGGCCCTGGATAAATAAAATGAAATATTAAACTGCTTCTTTTGCAAATGCAGTATTAGAGTTATTAAAATTTTAACACTATGGTTATGATGTTGTAATTAATGAAATTCTTCTAAACCTTGTATAGTTACTATTAATGGTAGTTACAATGTCAAATGCCAAGTCAGATCTTGCTTCTGAATAGAAGGGTTTTTTTTGAGTTCACAGTAACAATATTAAAGCTAAATATAAATTATGGTGCCAGTGTCTTAAGCAGCAAATACACCAAATCACACCACTGTTCTGAAAACCCAGGTGCAACCACAAGACCTTTATGTTTGGCAACAGTTTTACAGTTTACAACTGTAAAGATACATTTCACATTACGGTATTTAAAAATTATGAACATGTGAACTTCCCTACAGATCTACACAACTTGTCAAGCCACTATCACCTCTAACAGTGACCACCAACAGATGCTTTTAAGAAAAGTGCAGTAAGTCCCCACGTTAAGTACCCCAGGGTACTATGTGCCCTGCACAAGGGCATTGTCTTAATCTCAGACACTTAGATTTGCTTAAGCACTGCCACTTGCAGATTTTCTCCTGCCATAAATCTTTCTTGCTTAGAAATACTATAATGAGTACTTCGCATTAGCCATTCATGTACCCAAAGTCCATTTGAGACTTACTAAATTATCAGTCCCAAAGAGGTTATATGACAATGACTTGCGCAATCATCATTCACTGAAAGGAATAAACATATATTTGTCTATTTTTTTACGTGTTACCTTTGATCCCATTAAATATCTTTTGTTTACCTTTGAGATAAGAGCACTCTTAAGCTCTTCTTCATACTACTGCAGTTTCCTTTTTAAGGAAACCAAGCTAAATCTTTTCTATAATTTCTAATGTATAAGTATTTCCATGTAACTCAGCTTCCCTTGAATCTTTGAGACACTACAACAGCTACTGAAGTTACATTACAAAAATATTTTTACTTTTCATTTTGAAGTTTTGTAGACCCAATCTGTTTCCCAAGATATTTTAGCTATTTTTAGCAAAAAACCTCATGGCAGCAAATTTTGAGTCCAGGTAGATCAAGAAGAACATAGCAGCAAAACTAAAGGCAAATAACAGAGATCCACAATGTAAACAGCCACCTGTGAGAAGATGTATCCATTGACATCATAAAGAAATTTGCTTTGATCTGAACAAGTTATAAACATGTGAAAACAGTACAAGATGTAAATACACCACATAAGGCATTAAAGCACACTTAAAGACAGGTCCCATGGATACTTCCCAAAGTTTACTGAGATTCCCATATCCTCTGTATAAAAGGATCAAAAATTTGATCCCTATTTCTGAAATTTTAAATTTCTATCTCTATGATTAAATGATTCAGATTGTTCATTTACTTAAAATCACCCAAAGCCATCACATCTTTGCTTATAAAGAAATCAATTATAAATAAATTATAAATATTCACAAGCCAATACGTAAACCCAGAGTTATCTTAATCCCTCATCTTCACATTGAATTACCATACTATATTCCCTTTATGTTTAAAAATGATGCATTCTTTGCAAATGACAGTTGAGAATATAGCTGTCGACTTAGAACTCAACCTATATTATCTTCTTCTGTGTTGGCAGGTGTGACTTAAAGTGTCAATTACTGATATATAATGACTCATACCATACAGTTTTCTGTGTCCTCCTGTCAGACCAAGGTTACTTTTGCTCACATCCTCTCAAGGGACTGCCCCGAAGGAGGAACAATTTTCCAATGGATCAACATCCTTTGAACTTGCTGACTTTTTGGATGCTTCAAAAGGCTATGTATTTTCTTGTTTTACCAACAGATGGTATGAATTTCTAGTAGCAGATGCAAATTGCTTTTGCAAGTTGGTATTTTTATATTCTGCTGCAAAGACTATCTTTCTATATGCACTAAATGTACTTGTTTTAATATTTGAATATATGTTATTACCTAGTGGTAGATAACATGTACAACTTGAATTCAACTGAAGAAAAAACCAACCCAACCAAACACCACCACAACTCTGCACTACTGCAGAGACAGTTTATTCTGTTTGGCTTGGTACATATTCTTGCTACAAAGGAAGGTGGCTGCCAGCAGATGTTACAACAAATGGAACAGGTCACCAACACCAGAAAGCTACCTCCAGCTCTGCACTTATGCCTCATCTTAGTATCTTATTTTCCTCAAATTACTTCCCCTGATAGGAAAATTACGTTTCAGTCTCTCCCATTATGTATACCTAGAATTGATTACATTTCTACTTCAAATTTCTTCCCTTCTTGCTTCTCCTTTCCTGCTTTCACCTCCCAAATCAGAGAATATACTGTCTTAATGCTCTAAGCCCACTCTAGATGTTTTTGAGCCTAGCTTAGCCATGCATATATTACTCTTATCAAGCTCTCTACAGATTTATTGACTACATTTCAGAACAATTATTCCATCACTGTGCTTTGCATATTGGACATGCTTGACATCATTGATTACGTCTTTCCTTTGGAAAACTTCTCTAATATGTTGCTTCTTTTCCATTTGATGGATTTTTTTCCTTTCCCTCTACAGTTGCAAGGCACCCCAGACTGAAACATCAATGCTTCCTTTATCTCGCTGTCCCAGTATTTGAGGATCCTCTCTTATAAACAGGGCAATAAATATATTTTCCCCCTCTAATGATTCATAAATACAAATCTCTAACTTGGATTCTTTCTATCCAAGTTGAGTAGTATCTGCTTTTCTAAAATTTACTCACAAGTGTCCAGACATGACATTAACAACTTAACATTGCCAAGATGACTACTATTTTTTTTTTGTGCTGAAGTCTTCTCTCTTCACTACCTCAACACAGCCAATAGCACCACTGTCTTCCCTGATACTCTAATCCATAATACTGGTTTCTTCCTTGGAACATCAAAATTTGACTCTAACATTCAGGCTGGATACTAAACTGGACTGTTTCTTCCTGCAAATCACCTCCTAAACGACCAGCAGAAGTCTAAATATCTTGCTCATTGATAATCTCTTCTTTGGCTTCAATGCCTGCAAGTCTTATTCTCTCAAACTGATCCTCATGAAATTATCTTCATTACTTAATTGAATCAACTCCTGATCTGCCTTCCCATTAACTTCCATTTATACAACCCTCAAAACTTTAGACCTAATGCTTATGTTATCACATGACTGCTCCTGCTTTTGCCTTAATAATATCAGCTTCACCTGCACAATTTCAAAAAAATAATTTATATTTCTTTTCCCATCATCTTTCCTTACAAGAAGAGATAAACTTGTAAGAAAAATCCTAAATCCATTCTCAATATGCCTCTTAAAACTCCTAGCTCAGATAAGACATATAACAAAGTATAACTTGAGAGTGACTTAGCAAGTGGAGATACTGTATAAGTACTGCTTACATACTAAGATATCTTGCAGTCTGTGACACATTCTTGCCCTGCTCTTCATCTTACTGCCTGGTGCATCTTTCATATGATACAGTACCTACTCCCGTATAAGTACCAAATGGCAAAAGCAACAACCAAAGCATTTTCGAGGCAAGGAATGAACCTGTTAATGATCTTGCACAAGAGTCAGACTCATCCTCTTCAGTTATGATGATACAGAAAGATTTGCAGACTTTTCTGATTTTGGGGTTGAAGATGGAAACAAGATAACACATTTTTAGATGTGAAAAACTCTACACTCTGTGTTTGTAATTTTGAATTAACATGTTGGTCATTTTTGGTCTTAGAATTTATTCTTTTTTAGCAGGTGAAAACCCCCAAACCTTTAACTGCAGTCTGTCTGTCAGGTTCTCTGTTACAGACTTGAAATTAGCAAGACCAGACAAATAAATTTTAGGACATTATACAACAAACCTTTTTATGGCCTGCTGTATTTGTAACTGGACTAGTCTTTTAACTAAACAGGTCACTTTTATGAAGTATTATGAAAAAAAAAATCATAGAAATCAGTGGTTGAGTAATCAGTTGAGAGAGACAATAGAATTTCTTGTGTGAATGTACAAATGATAAACAACTGCCACCCCTTTATCTTGCCTATACTGAGTATTTAACGTAAAATTGCCTATCCAGTTTTCTGTGAAAACTACTTTAAAAAGAGATGAGTAAGAGGCATCCTGGAGACCTAATTATATATAGCCACTGCAGTTAATTAAGATACATACAGCTCATCTGTTGAACAGTCATTTTTGCAAAATTAATTATAGCTTTGTTCATTGCATTCTGCAGTGATGAATACTAATATTTAAATTGCTTATCACTATAATTCAAAATTTAAAGATATTAAAAACATTAATTTTCATAGCTCTCTTTGATGTATGTATTTTTATACCCACTTTACATTCCCCATTAAAGATCAGAGGCATGGGATGGTTCCCCAAAGCCAAATATTCAAGTACCAAACCAAGATTAAAATTTTAAATTTCACAGCACCCAATCCAATTGGTATTTTTTTAAGCCACATTGCTCTTCTGAAAATAAGGAAGAGTTAATTAATAACTACAACCAGGCAGTGCTGTTGCAAAACAAGAAATGCTTCATCTAAGTAGATGCACACTGAAATGAATGTAAAACCAAAGATACTGTCATCAAGAACGTAACATTGTTGAATAATCATTTCTAAGGCCCAATCTGCCTCATATAAGTCACTGAGGCTTTCTCATTAACTCTTTTGTAAGAGGAAAACAGATTTGAAATATCCGTATAATAAAGATAATTGTCAAAATTAAGCATGGTTGACATCACAAGATGTAATAAATTTGCATGCATGCTGAATGTGTTTAAAAAAACACATTACAAAGCACAAACACATGGGTTAAAGTCAGGCATAGTCCAATCATGATAAAGCTATTTGCCTAACCTTTATAGAACTTACTCTGATAGGAAGTACGGATCCGTTTCGTTAAATCTGGATAAAAGTTAGACAGGCCACGCATGCAAAAGTTGTCTTTGGAACATGCCAGTACACCAGCATCAGCAGCAGGCAGAGGAAAGAGAGAAAAAAACAGTCTAAAGTGAAAGGAAGTGATATCATAACCAGCATCTAGAACAGCCAAAGTGAAGAAATTTCAGCAGATGCTTACCTTCCAATTGGGAAATATAACAAGAAAAATAATCAAAGAAGTAAAGGATGTGGGATGGATGGTGAGAAAGCAGCTGAGGCTTTTTTCGGATGCATAGTTTCTATGAGCAATCTAGAAGTGCATATTCCTTCTTAGCGGCCACTTATCCCCAGTGGGCTCCATTCTCACAGCACTGCATAGCTGGAATGTCTTTAGAGGACTGGCCAAGATTGTCCCTGACACAGAGAAATCCTATGTGGTGCAGTGCTGATAAGAGCTATTTCTACATCAGCTACCCTCCACCTTTTGTACAGGGCTCTACAGCATGTTGCTTGTGGCTAGCTGCTCAAATTGCTTTGGGAGCTGCTGTGGGGCTGGCTGAACCAGACAGCAACGCTGAAGTTAGCTTAAAGCTGCTTGTCTCTCCTCTCCTCAGCTGTGCCAAATTTACATCTTTAACACTTGGCACAGATGAGAAGGAAGCTTGCCATGATTAAATGCCTAGAAAGTGGATAAGTGGTCTTTCAGGAGTGGAAGTAGGCCTGAAGACTTGCATTTTATTCTCTAAATTTTACTTTCTGTTTGGAGTACAAACATATCCCCAATTAAAAAAAAAAGTTTCCATTAGCTCTATGGAAAAATAGGATTCAATGATTTAGTGCAGGGTCTGCTGATGAAAATGCTGATGTCATAAACTCACTATAAGCTGCTTTTGTAATTTCATGGTTAGATTTTAAAACTCAACATTTTCAAACAGATTTTTACATCTAATTCTAAAACTTCACAAGTGTGTAAAACATCTCATAATTGTGTCTGACTGGTATATTACTATGGAATATGTAGAGTAAAAAGACTTGAAATAGAAGATCATCTGACTTTTTTTCTCATACAAATAAATTGTTTAGATGACAAAAAGCATATGGCCACATTTAGCTGCATTGATGGACTATTATTTCTAACATGTGATGTATAATAATATCTATGACTTACAAATGTGAACCTCTTGGCATTGAATTTGAAAATGAGGTTCAGCTGGACTTAGTAAGTGTTATGTCAAGAGCTTCAATTCCCTAACAAAGTGGCTAATTTGAGCTAGTTGTGCTATCTACATAACGTGTTTCTCAGGTGTTATACTTCTCCAAACACAACTGCCTATTTAAATACCAATGAATAGCACTTGGCAGAAGAGACAATTAAGTTTAAATTGAAGTCTTACCTATTGGTATGAACTTCTTGAAATAAGAAAAAAAATAGCATAGAGACTACACTTCAGGTGACTGCCAGAGAAACAATTTTCTGCTCTGCTCATTATGATTTTTTAGAGTCTCAGCTAAGGGAATTACTTGCCGACCTCCATCCCAAAAGAATAAACTTTATAAAACATTTTGTTTCTGAGAAAGTGTCAGTACCTAAAGCATGTCAGGTTTCTTTTGTCAAGTTACAGAAACTCGATTGGCTGGCAAATAGTCATGCATTTCGAAAGCACTATAAAAAGCCACAGGCAAAAAAACCAAAGAGGATATCAGGCTCATAGCCACAATAATTTATTTCCTACCTGCAGCAAACTGCTTGCTTTTGCGAGGTGAACGGGGCTGACGCTGGTAAGGGTCACTCGATCCGTATAGGTCAAGGGTTCCCATGCTCAGCAGTACTGTCTTCTGCATAAAGTCCACAACGGCCAAACCATTGCAGTTTCCAAATGCCACTCTGAGAAAAGAAATGTTCCTCAAAGGCATTAGTAATCAGTAGTTAAGTGGTGCAAACAATAATTATTATTTATTATTATGAATTTTGCACAAACATTTTCTTCAGAAACTACTCAAAGCTTATATTTTATAATTCTTACAGATTTGCAATCCAGAATTTATAAAATTGTGTCCTGAAACACAGGAATTAACTTTCCAGAAAGGAAAGTTTAATTAAATTTCTGTGCCAACTGCATTGCAATAATGTCTAAATGTTGCTTTACTGAACAATGTATTTCTAGTAATAATGATATAGTTTAAGCCTACAAATCCAGACCTTAAAAAGTGGTTATACATATATATATGTCTATATAAAAAATACAAATATAAATAAAAATATAAATACAAATACATGTATACATAATTATTTTTAAACTAAATATTAATGATAACTATATTAAGCTGTATTGTGGAGATACCCAAATCTTAAAGGTATTTATAAAATTTCCTTACAACTCTCTCAGCTTGGCTACATATAGATTCCTGCTAAAACAGTCTCTACCCCTCTGAAATGTTTCTACAAATAGCATTTTGATGGTGGTTTGATTTAGGGGCAAGATCTGTCAACTGGTGTGAGATTGCCTAAAAACTGGACTGTAGTCTTGTTATAAGGAAAAAGAGATGAAACAATGTATTTTTTCTGCTGCCTAGAAAGTCCTTTTTGAATTCTTCTATTGCTTCTACTGATTTCCTTTTGACACCAGTTTCAGAAAGAGAGAAGAAGTTGTATCAGACCAGAAGCACTTTCTCTTCCTCTCCCATAAAAAAGCTTTCTGCTCTTGCTTTTTCCCCAGCTTGGAAGGGGTGGTGGTTGAGGAGGGAAGGAAGAAGACAATGCATCTATCTAAGGAAAAGGAAGATTAAAGGGAAAAGGAAGAAAACGAAAAGACACTAAACATGTCTATATGTAAGACCTGGGAGAAAGTCTAAAGTTAACCATAGCATATGGAAACCCACATATCTCAGCAGATGATATTTTTGCTTCATATTGTCACCAAAGCATTAAACCTATTTAAGATTTAATATTAAAATAGAAAGCAAAATGGACTAATTTCTTTTTGATTTAAATAATGGCAAATAAATTCACAGACTGTATGACTATTGAGAGGACCCATATGCCAAACTCTTGACTGTAGACTTGATTTAAGCAGAAAAACTATATACTATATATTGACAATTATTCTACAGAAGTCTCTTTTCTATCAGACTGCAATTTTAACTCCCAGATAGGAAGGATTGCAGGTAGAGCCACAAGGAAACTAAAAATCCCAAACCATGCCCAATCAGATTAGAAATAATTTCTGATCAAGTTCCATTATTTTATGTAAAAAGTGACTCAGGTGGTCAGTTCAAAGCCCTGCAAAATACATAAGCACTCAATTCACATGAAAAGTAAGCTGTGCACTCACTTCCACCTGACTCTTCTTAATATAGCTGCAAAATGTCTTAAATGAGATGTATGAATTTGTGTGTGGAAAAACAATAAGGAAAGAGTAGTAATGAGATGGAGGGAGGGGAAGCAGGGTAGATAGAACATTTTCCTCTGTTGTACCTTTTCTTCCTCTGCTTCCATTATAAAAAAGAGGGTTCCATATAGCAAATAGAAAAGGTAAAGTGTAAAAATGTTTTTCTTATTTGTCAAACTGGCAAATTACATCTACAACATCTACACCAGGGGCTCAACTTCTACCAGTTGTTACTACACCATGTTACTAACAAACTATAGCCTGTTTTGCTTAATAGAAGAACAAAATAATTTTTAGAGAGTTTCCCTGGGGCAAAAAGGAATTCTATCACAACATCACTTCTTGGTCTGCATTTTTCTAAACTCCTCTAAGTTTATACACAAGTACAGATATAATATTTCTTATACCTAAAAAAATTACTTTAGCAAGTAAAATCAGAAATTGCTAATTAATATTATAAAACTTCTGAGAAATTATAAGAAAATCTAGACAGACATTACTATTAACAAAGCTTAAGATAAATTGCTAACCTCCAAGTCTTTATAAAACCAAATACAAAATAAGTGCAATGAATTTCTGAATTTTGAGTGATTAATAGAACTAGTTGCTAGGAGATGTTCTGTCTGTGGGTATCTTTCACAGAAACATCATAAAATCCTCATCAGACATTTCTTGACAATTAATATGTAGATTGGCTGAAAATATTTATCACATGAGCTGGTAATAAATTTTCAGAGACTGCTGTCAGTCCAACAGAACATACTATAAACCAAATTTATTATTTGTATTTAAGCTGGTAGATCTTCAGTTGTATTTGAAGCATTTTGTAAATTTTTCTTTTCTACTTTCATAACATAAAGAAGTTTTTTGATGATTCATTTCAACAGAAATAAAACAGGTATTAACACTTCTAATCTGTGGCTTGGTGCTGTTAGAAGTAAACAAAATACATTAAATAAAATTACACATGATCGGAAGTCTTTTATCTTTGCTGGGGATAAATTTTTTGTCTTGCTTTAGTCTTCTTTCATGCCTGCAGTAACATCAGAGACACTAAGTTCCTATTATTTCTAATACACAGTTACAGAAATCAGAGTAATAATTGTCATATAGTCACATTCATACAGCTCCCAGATGACAATTTTTGCACAAATGTAAAGGCTCTGCATGAAGTTTCTGAAGTCTCTGAAGAGAGTCAAGTGACTTGCTGAAAATCAGTAAGAGTCAGATACCCAACACCCATTACAGCCTGCAGTTCTTTTTGGAGTAACACCTTCCACAGGGTAAACAATTTTAATGTACCTACGTGACTCTCAGTGAGAGCAAACATTAAAACTGGCAAATAAATTGAACCTGAGGAAAAAAAATACACATAGCTACGCTCACTTGCATTTCCATACAGAATTTAGCATTTGAATGTTTCTCATTCAATTTTCAATTTCAGGTCACTGGTTCTCTTGCAAACAGAGATCAGCACAGACATAAAAATGCTGTTCTGAGAAGACAATTTCCAACTAAGGTATTATGTAATGATAAATGACATTTAACACTTAATCACATCACCATTTTCTATGAAATGTGTTTCACCTTGGTGATCCTTTCAAAATAACTTTAAAAATTACAGATTTGAAAGGTTATTAGATTTTATTTGAAAGAATGGACAGAATAATGTGAAAAGAGTCAATCTTTTAAATAGGAATAGTAAAAATATGGGCAAGACTGGCAGTTTAACATCTCATATTACAATCTTTACATGAGTTCAAATAATTTTTCCCCAAGAATCTGGGTTATAGCACCTTTTGATTATTTTTACTCTGACTTTAACTGTCTGCAGGAAACTTCAAGGTATAATTGGAAAATACATGATTTAGTGCAATAAACAATAAATCAACGCAACCTTAATTTTGAGTTACTTACAGTCCATAAGCAGAGTTTACAGCAAGGCTGGTAATCTGTTGTGGAGGCTCACCATCCACCCACACCAACTGAATAACAAGATCTGCTTGGTATCCAGGAGGCATTCGCACAGGTCGAGTCTTAACGCTAAGAAGAAGAGGTACAAAATAAGAATGAATAAACAAACAAACAGACTGGGCCATGAACTTTCACTGCTGCTCTTGTGAAAATACTGGTGAAGCACAATCCCTTAATAAGTCCAGAGCAGCACCAGAACTTGCAGCATACTGTGCATGTACCCGTACATGGTGACCAGGCACTCCAATCAGAAAAGGGCTATTTTGGAGGAATTCCAGGTTTTGACTTTCATTTCTGTTGTAGAAACAAATCATAAAACTTCAACATTCCCTGCAAGACAAACTCTGGGGAAGATGTAGGTGGTGGTCAATAAAAACTTTTGCTTAAATATTTTGCTTTGATCTTCCTTTTTCAGAATATTTTCTTATGCTATATAATGCACACTTACAAATTAATCATGAATAATCAACTTGAATGAAAACCTGAAATACTTTCTTCTGAAACTTTGAAACAGGACATTTCTGTATTTTTGGAACTTTCTTGCTCAGAAGTAAAGCGTGACAGAAAAATACAAAGAAGCAAGAGAAGATGTACCTTTCTGTAGTGGTCCTCACCATTGCATGTTCAAAACTTATGGACCTGACAATTCTATTCGTCCAGCTAGTGCAAACAAGTCCTGTTTTCTTCTTAGCAGTATAATCACCTAATATGTGACATGGTCTTCATGAATGAATGCTTCCTACATAAAATCTGATATAATTATTAACACCTCTTCATAATTCTGTCATGGCAAATTCAGTGGCTTGCACAGCAGGTACTGGAGGTGTCTAAGAACTGAACACTGACAGCTTTATGTGTGTGCTTGACTGGTAGAACTTAACGTGATGATACAATGAAAGAAGCTATTATGAAATAATAGGAATACTTTGAAGTATTCCTGTTATTCATTAGTACATTCACACTGTAGGTGGTAATTTATATGTAAAGCCCACTAGTCAGTACATCTTTACTGCAGCTGTAAATGGTGAGACTGCTTATATTGCACCACTCCGCACAGTTATAATAGGACAGTCTATCACACATAATATTCTATCTCTGTGAAAAATAGTACCCAAGGAAAGACTAAGAATCAGGAGAGGAAGGACGGTAGCTAATTAATATAGACATGGACAACACATTCTGAAGAACTGCAGTTTTGGGCACATAATATTTCTTTCTGCTGTAAGTGCTTCTCTACACATATATCTCTAACATAAATAACTTAAGCAATATTATCCTATGTACTGGATTTGAGAGATTTTTAATGACTCTGATGATGCAGACTATCTCCTGAATGTGACTATGACATGACTCAGCAAGTTTTCCAAGCAGCCCTGTCCCATGCACCTGAAAAGAGGATGGATCAGATTAGGAGAAAAAACCCCAAACCCAACTGATTTATATTCAGAAGCAAATAAGTAAGAACTTATTTTAAATGAAGATATTCAAACTTATTCAATAATGAGGGCTATCAGGTTTTTTGTAGCTACACTGACTGCACCTGTTGGGATGGAGGTCTTGATGGCAAATACAGCTATCAGCAATCTTGGATAATTGAAGATAGATGCAGAAAACTGTCGCAAAATGAAGTAAAACTTAACCATAGAATGACATCAGTGCAAGAGTTCTGAACAAGTAACTCCAGTAGCACAATGAACAATGTACAAAGCAAAAAATGCTCTGATAGAAGTTATGAAGAACAGAGGACTGTGCAATATTTCTCACACTTTTATGGTCTGATATAGAGCACAGGAAAAGACTGGACATGTATGTACCTTATGACACAGAGAGAGAAAATCTCCAGCTCAGTGTTAGCAGTAGAAGGACTTGAAGATACTTTTTGGAAAAGTTCTTAAAGCATAAGGACTATTTTTTAATAAGACCTTATATTGTAGACGGTTCACTAACCTTGCCAAACCTTTCCCTTATTTACTATTTAATGAGAAAGGCATTCCTCATCTATCTTGCTAAATGCATTTCCTTAACAGTGGCTTGGATTACTATTCTATTTGTTTGGTCTGTTGTACTGTTCAGACCTTACATATCCATTTATCCAGAGCAGTAATCAGTCAGTTGGCTTGGATCTTGTCATAAGAAAGAGATGACAGTACAGTTCAGCAAGCAGGATGCTTTTTCCTGTCCTCTTCTTCCTCCCTCCTGATCATCCAGGACCAGCTGTGAGGACAGATCTCCAGGCCAGGGGTCTGGACTACCACTCCTCCCTTCCCTGTTCAGGGTTGCTGCAGGAAAGCACTTGAAAGCCACAGTCTTGACCCAAACTGGAAGGGAATCTCATCGTGACAATGTGTAAATAGTGGAGATGAAGAGCACTTTATCTGCCCCTTTAGAGATAAGAAAGTAACCACTTTCATTTTCTCGCATAAGAAAACTTCTAAGTTTGGTTAAAAAAGCAAACACCTTTCTCTCTCTATTTTTCACTATAAATTCGAGGATCTTCTTTGGTAAGATGGTTGTTATTTCACAGGGATTTTCTCTGAGCATTTCTCAACTTGTACTTGCTGAAAGAAGTTTGGTTAAAAAAGCAAACACCTTTCTCTATTTTTCACTATAAATTCAAGGATCTTCTTTGGTAAGATGGTTGTTATTTCACAGGGATTTTCTCTGAGCATTGAAGTTGTTATTTCACAGGGATTTTCTCTGAGCATTTCTCAACTTGTACTTGCTGAAAGACCATAAGACTGGAGTAAAACAGTTTCAGATTTTGTGATTCAGTTTGTCATTCCCATGTTCCTGTGATACTTCTCTCTCTAAGGAAGTATGAGCCATTTCCCTGGTTTCACTAACCATCTTGCTGAAGAGTAATGTTGATATTTAGTTCTACACCTTGTTTTGGATTGCTTTTTTTGAAGTGTTTATACTATAAGCCCAAACAGACTGCAGGAGTATGCACAGAAGGAATGTAGGTATTTCAGCATTCTTTGACATGTTATGCTACACTGAATTTGGTGGTTGCAAAGTTTTGTTTTTTAGTTTTCTTTATGAGATAATCACAGACAGTTCTTTAGCATTTTGAAGTTACTATCAAAACCCTTCATTGACCTAATTTTGGAATGATACTAAAAGTCTGGGAACAAAGACTTACATGCTGGGTACAGCTTTTTGATGACAGTGTTTACATTAAAAATATTTATCTGGATAACCAGAAATACCTCAGTTTCTTTTGTTATTATAGCTGCATATTTGATAATAAAATCTTCTGAAACAAGCAAGAACAGTATTTATTCCACAATGCTGCTCGCCTCTCCTGGTAATATTTACTTTTGATTTCAGAAAAATTCCAAGTTTTCATTACTTCAGCCCCTTCACTTATTTGTTTTCTAGTACCTATTTGCAGACACAAACACATTCAGCCATTCTGACTTCTGACTAGTGAAAATTATGTAGTAACAAGGTTGAGAAACAGATATGAAAATAAACAGAATGGAGCCAAGATTAAACACTAGTCTGTATATGAAATTTTATTTGGATCATCAATATAGTTCAAGTTGTGCACTCACTCTCCTGCAGCTTTAAGTTATTATCACTGCATCTTAGATTCTGTACTGCTGCCCACCTGAATGACTTGCATATAAAGCCAACAGCATTACTCAAGTCTCTACTGGGTTTTCTCTATTTCCAGCACTACTTCCATCCTATCATCGTAATTCTAGTTACAAGTTTTCTGCCAGAAAAGGAATGTGGACCCAGTTAGGGTTTGGGGGAATATTGTGAATACTTATATGCATTTCTCTATTGAAAAGTATGAGAGTGTACATAACATACTTTTACATAAATGTAAGAGGGAGAATGCCAGCAGTTCTAGTGGTATAATTACTTTGACTTTGAAAAATCACTTCTCTGTCAAAATAAGTTTACATTTACTTTGAGTAAAACAGAACAAAAATCAGTTGTCCAGCTTAATGTAAGATTATATGGAGCTAACCAAACTTCTAAAAACTAACCAGCAGAACCTCTACTGGTTCATGAAAGCTTTTCTGCCTCCAAGACCAACAATTCCTCTCCTCCCCAGACCAAATCAAATAAGAATCCCTTAAGGGAAAGTCATAGCCACTAAAATAATTGATTGCATTCTTGCTGATTTCAACATCATAAATAGATTCCACATTGGGATTTTTTAAATAACTTCTCTCTGCCTCTTCTATTGATTTTCATGGTTTACATTAATGATTGAACTGAGCTTTGAGATTCAACTGCCTGAGTGATGTGGACAAATGAGCAGGATGTCAAAAAATACTACTAATTTTGCAAGAACAATGTCACGATATTGCTTTTAAATGCTAATGCTATTTTCAGGGGCTCAACAGTGCAAAGCATCTGCAAAGTCATGCAATGTTCATTTAAACTGCTTTTGAAATAATTGAGGCATTTAAAATATTTAATAATAATTAGACTGAAATAATAATGAATTCACTAAAATGAGAGCAATTGTTATCAGTAGTGCATTATAATTGCTGGAAAATTACAGTTTATGGAGTTTTGTATGGAGTTCTGTTTTGAAACTATTCAAACCCTTAATTTATCTGCCTTATTAGTAAGAACATATTAATCTACTCCAAACAGTGGCAATGTGTACTCTAGCAGACAACAATTTGCTTCTTTCTAAAGATTAAATATATAAACACTTCCACACAGTGCAACTGTTTGATAATTGTATATTTTAAAGATTGTTTCATAAGTATGAACAGTTCCATCCCTTACATACCACAAAATGCATATACGTCTTTCACAGAGAAATATTTTAGTGTTATACTAATTAATCAAGGAGAGAAAGCTTTGCACATGTCTGCTTTATGGAAGTCTCTATGTGAACTAAAAAGGGAAATGTTTCTCAGATATTCCTTTATTTATTCTGTAGTGCTTTGTATTCCATTCAAAATTTTGGGTATGAGACAAAGATTTACTCCTAGATCATACTGGAAAATTACAGTCAAACCTTTATTGGAACAGTTTATCTACTCCATAATTACTTCTAGTCTTTTAAAAATCCTCGTTAATTATTTTGCCTTAATTATTTTGTTTGCTCCATATTCTGGTTTCTTCTAATTTTGTGTCACATACATACAATTAACCTCTTTTTCTTGATAGTTGACTGGTTGGTTATACAACAGATAGGAATGCTTTTTAGAAAGACAAATCTTTGAACAATGGCATAGACTTACCTAAGACATGGGATACTATCCTTCATCGTTCCTTCACATGCTACAGTGTTGGTACTGCCTGAAAGGCTCTTTAAAGAAGGAAGTTGGGAGGAGGCATCTGGAAATGGAGGAATTGCTTCTGGTTCAGGAGTAATGATATCTTCTACTTCATACTGAAGTCGTACTTCTAATGACTTAAATAAATAAAAAGCTAAGTTATAATTTAATAAAGAAAGCTGCTGAAAGTTCTGTTACTTTCAAATAAATATTAGTAAGCTGTTTTAAAAAAATTATCCTCCACACTTATCATTATCATCTGCAGGCAAAGAATAATGTCACTTGTCATTTATATAGCCTAACAGCAACGGCAGATAGGAGCTGGTCATCTTCCCTGTGCTGATGGAGGTATACTCCTCCAGTGCTGACTTTGATTCAAGCCTTTTATTGTAAGTGAAAGGCAAAAACACAACTATCCAACATTTATTATGGAAAGAGAAGTTAATCACTCACTGCCAAATAAATAATATTTCAGCATAAGAAGGCATCATTCAGGATAAATGTAATGAAAATTTTCTATTGTCTGTGATCTTTTTCCTAGGCAAATTATTCAAAAGAATGACCATCAACTCTGCCTCCTTATTGGTAGTACAAGACAGTTTTTGGCCAGTATGCAGAAGCCTGACAGTGTGGGTAGTACTGATAAATTAACTTAATTGGGACATAGCTGGGGTTCAGGAAACGAGAGATAACAGCACGGAGTTCCATATTCCTTAGACTGAACATGAGTTTGGCAGATTCTAGAAAGCAAAGTTCAAACCACTAGCATTTTTCCTTCCTTCAGGGCTCTCTAGATAGGGGAGACCAACCAGGCCCAACTACACTTCAAGTCTTTCCACTTATTCAGGAAACCTCAACTGAAGGACTCCAAAACACAGAGGAAACTGGACAGGGAGCTCAAATCTATATAAGCAATCATCTCAAAGAATCACAGTAAATATTGGGCAATTTTTTCTACCTCATGAATTGTCCAAGGAGATCTCTGTTTTGAAAAGAATAAAAACCAAGACTCTCCTATTTCTCAACCATTGTGTTAAAACACATAAGATTTCAGAAAGAAGTGAGTCCACTCAATCAGAAGAGAAAGGGTCCTTTCTCAAAATTTTGCTTTTGTTTTTTCCTTGCAAAATCTATGGATATTTTTTGCCTGAATCAGCTAAGAAACCTATGAACAACATTTGCCTTCAAAGACTAATGAGTGAAATGTTGAATTTAGGAAAAACTAATCTCCTGGAAGTAATTGGTGCTGACTGAAACAATTTATAATGCTGTTTAATCTTTGTACAGGACTGGAGTAACTGTTGAAGAGTATGTTCTTCTGCTTGTCATGTTAGAATTGCATCATTCTTTGGATGTTTTTCTTTGTGTCTTCCTTTTTCTCCTAAAATTATTTTTTTTTAAGTTCTAGCTATCATCCATTTGCAGAGAGAAGGAAAATTTTAGACTAATAACCTGACTGTGATTTTTTTTTTCATATTCTGGTCTCTCCTTTGATTGGACCTTGGAAAGGGTACAGACCTGTTGTACAAATTTATTCTGACACATGGTAAAGATCTTTTTGGAGGATCTCATAACTAGGTACCTTGATTCTCCTTTCTACATTCAAATTAAATTTTTTTTTCTATGGTTCTTCTTAAGAGCTTTGAAGAGGAGCTTCACTGAGGAAAAACTGATCACTGAGAAAGTGATCATGTTTAATAGATACCGAGATATCCTTTTGAGTCAGGATGGAGTAGATTCAGATGAGAAAGCAATAACAACAGCAAAAACTTTTTACATAATTGCATGGTAATGACTCCAAGGTTGGATATGAAGCAGAATTTGTTTCATGCATACTACTTGCCTCCAGAATCTGATATGGAATTATGCAAATAATACTTCTACTGAAGAAATCCCAGGCATAGTCTATGCTTCTAAGGCATATTCAGCAGCAGACTTCCCTGCTCCATGGAGAAACCTTTGAGTAGCCTCCATGCTTCCCATTTACTACAGCAATAACATTACAAGACTGACGTCAGGCAGTCAAACCAACGTGGGGTGCTTAAAATACTGGAACTTGTAGATTGAACTCAACATGAGTTCAGGCTGGCTGCTAGAGAAGGGAGGACCCTAAGTGCTAGAAGTTGGGCTCACCTCAGGCAGCAAAGAAATCCTGAGACTGACCAGCTCAGTCTCAGTATAGATAAAGCCAGACAGCCTAAAATCAAGTACATATTCTAACGAAGACTCTTATACTCTTATACTTTTTATTAAAACGTGCCTCATCATTTAAGAGTGAAGACTTGAATGTTTGCAGCAAAAATGCGGAAACCAAGAGATGAAGCTCATCTCAGGGATGCACAAAAACCAGGGCAACTCAGTGACTATGCCACCAAGATGAGATAATACTAAAACACCTCTTCAGAGAACAATTCCTCATATAAATTCTTCTTAATTACAGATAAAATCTGGGAAACTGTTAAATTGCACATATTGTAACACTTTAGAAAATACCTGTTCTGATGCAATTCAGCCGCAAAAGTAAAAGACATGAAAATAAAGAAATTAAATGATAGGTAATAAAAGATAAGGTGCATTTGCTATGGAACAATGTCAGAATACTGAAATGTAGTAATTTTAGCCTCATTATAAGTGAGCTGGTCAGTAAGATGAAATTACTGTTCATTAGTTTTAAAATATTTCTGAAAGGATACGTTCAGCTGCTTAATAATTGCCTCTGGTGGAAAAAATGAGAGGAAAACAACAGAACAGCTAAAGGTAATGAATTTCCTTACCAGATGGCATATGGCTACAGGCCAAAAATGACACATATTTTTGCCAGGCTAGAACTATAGACTTTCTAAAGTACATTAAAACAGTATGAAAAGGAAAAGAACTGTAATCAGAGAATGTGGAAAATTCAAGGGAAATTTTGGGCAGCCCCTGGGGTTTGCTGAGAGCTGGCAGATGCAAACAAATACTTTCTGACAAGAGTGTGTCTGGAGTTGCAAACTGTTCTCCAGCACCAGAGAATGGCAGGCCTGAAGGAGAGGCAGTCCTGTTTAGTTTGGCTTTGCCTTAAAAGTAGTCTCCTGTTAAACTTCTTAAGACTTAAGAAAGAATGTTTTACATTATGAATACTGTTCAACCACATTGTTAGCAGTGGTTGTGGCTCCTGTGCAAAAATGCAAGGTTTGAACCAAAGTCAGACTTGCTGTACAATAGTAAGTACAAGGTGAATGCAGTGCAGTTAGAAGAAAATGAACTGTATGATTCTACCTGAAATAAGGTGACTGCTTAAGACATGAAGACAGAAAAAGGAGTATTTGAACAGGATAAAGCAACAGAAAGCTTACTAAAATATCAAGAGTTTAGCCATAAATAATCTGGCATTTCATATTGTGTTAATTTTTAGGGAAACAAAGTCAGCATAAGCCGGTGGGGGGGTGTGGGGTGTGGAAATAAACTTTTTATTTTGTTAAAGCCAGTGATAACTTTCAGTCCCCTTGTAGAATAACGCTATGAACATAAATAAAAGAGACTAAATACTTGAGTTAAAAAGAGCATTACTATGTATGTATACAATGTACATTATCTGATAAAAACATACAGCAGCCAGTATTTTTAGAGCAGGTAAGTACAACAGATCTACTGTATCAAAGTCTTAAAAGCAAACTATGTCTGAAATCTTTACTGTATGTTACTATTAAAGCAAAAAAGTGGAGAGTTGTCTCCCCAAAACTCAATTTTTGTCCCTAATTTAAGTAGAATCAAGATTTCACTCAAAAGGTTTAAAATGGAATGTCCTTAAACCTATATTTATACATCTTGATATTAATTTTATTCAAGTATAGGAGCACAGACACAGCAAAGCAATTTGGTTTAGAAACTATGTTCTTTTAAAAGACAGTAAAATTCAGAAGGACTTACTGCAATTTCAGTATTTACTTCATGTTTGCTGAACCTGTAAACAACCACATACGCAGAAACTCCTGCCACACAGAATATTCTGCTTTCAGGGCACCAGTACATCATCTGAACGGCAAAAGGATCTTCTTCCACAATCTCAGCCGTTGCTTTTCCCTCTCCCACTTTCTGTTTTTCAAAGACCTTGGATGTTTTTAGTTTGTATAACATCTGTAGAGTAACTGGAATATATTAAAATATATTTTTAAAAAATACAGACTAAAATGAAGCAACTCAGTTATAAAATTCCTCAGTTCCCATTTCCTTTTCAGATGTGGCATAACAAAGAATCTTATGAAGGCCTCAGAGGAGAAGATGATGAGTATTATACAATACAGATATTATTCTGGTACACAGTACTGCTAGGGTATGTATTTAACATTTCCAAAATGGATATTTGTCTGTGAAATACTTAGTACTTTCTGAGACAGGATGTCAAAGGTGTATGTTAACCATTATGTCCATAATTAGGCTTATACTCAATGTTATAGAGAGGCTCTGATAATGCTGCTATTTTCGTAATGAGGTGTGAAACTAAGATTTCATTTTTTTGAGCTTATTGTCTTGCTAGAATTTGAAGACCTTATGGCACTTGAAGAGAAAATATTAGGAAAGTATTCTGGTGGCCTGGGCGACACAAAGACTTCCTGAACAAAAAGGAGTTCTAAAACGTCTAGGATTTCTTGACTAACAAGTGTATCTGTATTTAAACCTGTATATAAAACCTTCATATCCAGAAGCCTTTGTCAAGACTAGAGCTCCACTGCAGTGAATTCTGGAGGTAAAGGAGGGATTATAATTAACCTAATTTTGTTTTATTGACATTCCTCCCTGTTTTTTACTACTTTTACATTAATCAGTGGCATTAATTAATAACTGTATAAGGTCAGAAAAAGTCAGTCAGGCCCAGCACCTATAAAGGTTTGTATATACATAAAGGCAAAGCTGTTACATATGTTAGTGTAATTGTGGTAGATCAGTCTAGTGAGCTTGTGTAACAAGAGCAACATAAAGATAGAAGAATGGTGTTTTATTTATGTAACCAGATGTCAAACACAGCAAAATTACCTGTCATTTTTGCAGTGCATATAATTTTGTAGTTTTAGAACCTTTTTTTTTTATATTATATTTTTTAAAGCTGTAGCATATAAAAGGCTACCAAATTTTCACAAATTACAGCAAGTGCTTCTGTAATTAATACATAACTCTTTCTGTCTTCTGTGGCAGTGGAAGAGGCCTCAGGATGCCCTTAGTACAAGTGGCAAATCTGGAGTGGCACTTCAAATCAGACATCATGGGTCCATGCATTCAAGGATTGGTAGAATTACAGATTCATAGGGCACAATTACAAGGTAAGACTCTCTACACTTCTGTGAATTATTAGGTACCATCTGCACAAGGGCAAATAAGAAACAGCAATGGCTTTTGAGCAAAAATACATTTGGAAAACTGCTTCAGTGGCTTAGCAATTCCCTGTCTCCCACAGATCTGTGCTTTCAGATACAAAATTACACAATTAAAATGTCTAAAAAGCAAAGTATTTTGTACCTTCAAATACCAGTAGGATATTGTGTTTGCTATGAAGTTTCAAATGAAATTTGAACTCTATTTAAAAAGATAAGACCTTGTAACTAATAATTTACAAGAAATTACAAATAATTACTTTGAAATAATTAAAATATTGTAAATAAAAAGTACCAATTATGGTACCAGTAATGCAGTACATGCCCTGAAAAGCAGGACCAAGACCAGGACTTCAGAGATGCACTGAAAGTACCTTTACTGGTGAAGGGATTATGAATATTCATCATCACTGAAGCTTTTACCTCTCAGAAAAAATTCCTGTTGCAGCATGTACACAGTGATTAGTGGGTTATACTTATATTCCCTATGAGAGGTTTTTTTTCCTTTTCCCATTCCTGCCAGAATTACAGAAGAAATGACTAGCACACTGGTTCCTGTGCAGCATATACAGTAAATGCTTTGGGGTCTAGCAAAGTCTGTATTGTTTCACTCTAACTTTAATGCCTGTATTTTCACATTCTTGGCAAGACCGTAGGCAGGTAATGAAATATGCACGAGACAAAGTCACACTACTTCTCTAAATAAAAGTCATTATCCTATTTTTGTTCATATTAAAGCTCTCTCAAACATCTATCTTTACAGACAAACTCCTGTTGAACTAATTTGATTTTTTTTTCTTCTTTTTGGTGTTCACCATAACTTGAAAATACTGGAAGATGTAAACACTAAGCAGCATATATTTTTTTTTTCTCCATTTCCAAACAGAAAAAATATATAATAAAAAACCAACTCAGTCATGTTCAGTTGACATGCCTATGTAAAACTCCTTTGTGAAAAGAGGCATTGGAAATCCTCGTTTTCTCCTTGTCCATCCTGATGAGTGAAAATATTTGGTATTAGGCAAAAAGAGAACAACCTGACAAAGTCATCAGGTTTAGCTGACATTAAAGTCTTGTAAACATTTCCCATGTTTGACTGGAAATGGTAACACTATTAATCATTACAATTCTGTGTCACAATGTAGAACTAGCAGGTAGTTTAAGTATCAGATACTCTGTGTTCTTGGCGACCATTAAAGACTTGTTATTAGGGTCAAATTAAATCCCTCTATGCCTAACTTTTCACACAGAAGTTTCTTTCACACTTTCTTTTCTTTAAGAGACTCATACATCATAAAAGAGATATTCTACACAGACAACCCTGTACCACAGAAGAGTCAGAGTACAAGGCAACTCCACTGCAACTTCTGTGAAGCACACATTCTTTCTACCATACGTATTTTCTGTAGGGGAAAATGCTGGTTTTTGATATGTGTAGTTATAGCCAGAATGTATGGAACAACTATTTCTGAAGCTTTTTCCTGCTAGGATGAATGGAAATGCTTCCCAATTATTTCCTGGAACTTGAGAACGGACAAGAAAAGATTTAGGTCATCTCCACCCTTCCCAGATTAGACATGTATTGAGATGTATTATTGTATTTTAATATTTTATTTTTACTTAGCTGTAGAAAAGACTATATTGTACTCAGAATAGAAGAGACATGACAACTGGAACTGAATGTTAGATCTAATGGAGCACGCACTTTTAAACGTACAAGAAGATTATGCCCTAGGGATTTTTTTTACCAACACCCCATCCTTCATAGGTTTTGGTATGTTGGATGTGGAGTTTTTATTCTTCTTAAAAACTTTCACTCTTTTCTGTCTAATAAATCTCATTATCAGTGGGTTTTTTTCCTAATCTAATAAAAATTTGCTTATTTTCACCTCATTATTCCTATTTATATCATCCCAGGTATTACTAATCATATAAAACTCATGTTATATATGTGTGTGTGTGTGTGTAATTTTTCAGCATGATATGAAAGTGAACTTTAGAAACTTACTGGCAGAAGCATCCCAAAACTTTACTGATCCATCTGCATGGCTTAAAAAAATATAAAAATTAAATGTGTTAAAACAAGATGCAATTCTAAAACATCTTCTATTTTCAGTGAGTGATAAATATAAGCAGAAAAACGGTATTTTTCACATGTGGTAACTATCCTTACCTTATTGACAATATATAATTATATATAATAACCAGAAGAATATATTTTGTTATATGCTTGATTAGGTTAATAAAACACTTTTTCATGCATTCCTACTAAGCCCCCAATGAATTTTAAGATCACAACAGCAATGAATTAATTCCCATACTAATGATAAGTTTAAGTTACAGCACTATTGGCTTTGCAGTTGACCGGCATCAAGCCTATGCACTCTAAAAATGCCATGTATAACTAACTTTGAAAGGACAGAGGGTAACTTCATTTTGCTTAATACCTTACAGCTGTGCTTTTTCATTAACAAAAAATCATGCCTGAAGTAAAGCTGGAGAAAGGAGACATTTCTGTTTAAAATGAAAACAATCACTTTATCACCTTATTGGTACTATTGCACACATTATAATCTTATTTTTAAAAACAGGTGTTAAGCATAATTGATAATGACAATTTATCAAATATATTGCTATCATCAGCATCGCTGAGACCAGGGGGAAAACACAGAGTGCACTGTAGCTGAATAGCTTCTGTTTTACAGCATGGCCCCTTGAATATCCATCACACATTGCTCATGGGGCTTCTACTGCAGGCTGAGCCTTTCTACGCCTTTTTGCTGTCAGCTGTCTCTCCACTCACAAGGTGAAATTCATCCCAGTGCACCACATCCTCACTAACGCTGGGGTATTAAAATGAATTCCCAAACTGTCCCCAGACACAAAGTTCCCAGAAGGCCAAAGGACAACAGCTATAGAAAAACAGCTGCTTCCCTTTTTAATGCTCTTCTCTGTGCCCTTCAAGGCCAAAACATCCTTTTGCAATGGATTCTCCTTTCCAAAGACCCCCACCTTCACAAGTACATAGACTTGCTGTCTAACACCAGGGCCTCCAATGGTAATTCTTAATTGTAGTTTATCCCCTATTTTCTACAGCAAATGGGAATTTCTGAGGTGACTCTGCAACAAGGAAAAAAATGATGTACCTCACATGAAGAGGCCAGGACATACAAACTCTGTGAAGGGTCAAATTTTATCTACAGCTAACCCACAATGAAAAACTGTAGGAACTAACATTTTAAAACTACTAATCCCCTGCTTCATTCTCACCCTGTAATAATGATTTCAGGATATGTCTGAGCTCCAAGGTTCCATGCTCCACCACTGATAGGCCACTCCTAAACAAGCAACAAGAGTACATGCATCACCACTAATTCTGATGAATCCTGCTTGGTTAATTTTTAAACTCAAGATTAGGCAACATTTTCTTCCAAAAAGAAATACAACTTGTAAAAGGAACAAAAATATATAGCATTCAAGGCTTTTAAAGCTTATTAACATTTTTCTCAATTAACATATATTCTCAATTAAGGCTTTTGAAACTCAATAATATTTTTATTTTATCAGTTGAAGTTCTATGTTTTTAAAATATTTCTGCACAGCTAACACTCAACAATCCAAAACAGGAACTGGAGAAAAGAGTAATAAACAGTTCTGCTACTCTTTTCAGATGGCTTGAATCTTGGATTTTCTACAGGACACTGAATAGACTGAGAATCTATTTTGCAGATAAAGACTACTGAAGAAGCTGTCCCAGAAACAAATATCTGAGCATGATGCCATGAGATATGGATAAGGGAATGCAACTTTTACAGAATATATGAAATAATAATCTTTTTCTCAGCCTTTTTTTTTTTTTTTTTTTTTGTTTTACTAGTGGCAAGACTCCCATTTTCTTCCTTGGTCTAGGCTGGTAGAGCAAAATGCTGGTCTGTGCATAAAGGTTGACATGTATGGATGCACGATGCAGGATGCGGAGGATGATTTATGAGCAGAGTGAGTGAAAACATGTGCAGAGTATGAGTGGGTGGAAAAAAATGAGCAAAAACTGGTTATATGGATACATGGAGAGGATGCCTTTGGGTACAGAAATGGGTGGGTGGTAAATGGGTGGGTGGTAAATGGGTGGCCACCTACATTCAGAGTGTGTATTTGTATGTGGACAAATAAAGCAAGGGGACAAGAGAGTGTGCAGTGAATACAGGTAGGTGGTGAAAAGTTTGGGAAACTATGCATATGAGGTGAGGTAAGGACAGATAAGCAGACAAATGCAAAGAAAAGAAAAAAAAAATTTCTGAAGTACTTTTCTGAATCAAGATCCAAAAGAAGCAGATAGGGCCCAGTTTCTCAGTTCATGGAAAACAAGGCAGCTCCAAGGAGAATAATTCTATTAATATGAACATAAAACTGATGACATCTGATTTGTTTACCTAATATTTTTTCTAATTTATTTATTACAAAATATTAGTTCTAGTCAGAACATAAACCAAATTAATGCTTGAAATTTAAAAAAAGAATTGCATTTCCTCTTTATTTCTGCAGCTTGTCCAATTTCTGAAAGTATTACATTAACAGTTTCGTAGCTTAGTAAAATAATTAGTAATATCCCTGTTTAATAGAAATCTCACAGACATGCTGTCAACTCTCGGCTTTCACTGAAGCTCTTCTGCTGACTTCTTTCAGTTATAAAGCTTTTCCTTTTTTCTTTGATAGAGATAACTCATCCATACAAGTTTGAATTGTGCACTGATGGCTTTCCTTTAACTCAATCTGATCTGGCATAACTGTAACAACCTAATGATGAAGTCCTATATAATGATAATTAATGGTTGCGCTTAAAGTGATGGTGTTTCTGAGGGACAAATACGAGCATGCAGCTAACCTGCTGTTGGACCAAGTTGAAAGTGATTATTAAAGAAGTAAAGTGAAAATAATTCGATAAGAGGTTAGAAAAACATAGCTTGTACATCTCATTTCTTTGTTTAAAAAAATCATTGGTTTTGTTTACCTTATTGCTGTATCCTTGCTTTTTATGTTTTGCTCCTACAGAATAGAGTACAGGAATCAAATCTGGAGGACAGTCCGCAAAATATTCTGTGCAGGTAACAGGTGACTCATGAATGTCAATAGGATATGGATTTTCAAAGATTGGAAAACTAGTTAAGGAAGACAATTTATTAGAAGGACTGTGACACACTGAGCCATAGCAGTAAACATATTCTTATATTAAACTATATAACAATCTAAGTAAAATTATTACTAATAAAGTACATTTTCCCTTATTTATTCAAACACATGTATTGTTTATAATGTCAATAATAATGTGTAGTTACTCAAATAAAGATATAAATATTCCACTGCTGTGACAAGAATCAACTTGTAACATAAATACCTGTTCATGTGAACAGATCTTAAGTCTAAAAGGACTACTTGTGTGAATGAGGATTAGGAATTAATTTTTCCCAATATCTCAAAATCTTATTTATACAGACGTGGTGTATTTTCTAGAAGCTTCAGGGTCATGGATATGATATATACTATGACCTAAGAACTATTTATACAACTGGGGATTTTATAGTGAGCAGCTTAGCATATTGGGTTAGTAGAACACTGATTCTACAACAATTACAATAACAGATGAAGTAAATCTCAGTTTATTTCTCACTTCCATCAGTTTGGACAGTCTGATAAGAAGGAAGGCCTCACTTCTGGCATATTACATGATGTTATTCACAATTCAAAAATGTAGGAAATTTCATTCTCATTTCAGTAACATCCATTTTATACTGCTGAGAAGATTTGAATTATTCTTGAAAGTGAGATCAGAATACGATTAACTTAAAATGTTTCAAGACATTAAGGGTGAAATCTGTCCCTAGATATACCAGTGTGAATGTGGATGTATATTACTAGTAGTGTTGGAAGCAGAACAAAATAAATAAGAATTGGATTCTGCATTACATCATCTATAGTTCCTCTTTGATATGAACATTCTGATGTGAAAGAACTATTTGTCATTTAAACCAGCAACTGGATGATGAAATAATCCCACAGACACACTATAAATCAATGCCATTATTTATTAAGATACTTAAGTAAGTACCTAAGTGGTGGTCCCTGAGGAGTCTAGTGAAGTTAGGCATGCATAGAAGTAGTACTTGAATCTGGTTTCCAAAACACACATTTAGGTTATAATTCAGCATCTGACCAAGTATTGCTTAACTTCAACATTGAGTGAATGAGGGCTATACTGAAAGGACTGCAGATTTAGATTTATTCACAGACTTAAGAACAAATACCATAAGTTCCTGTTGATTAGCTGATCTTAGCTCTTAAGGTGGAGGCAAACATATAGAGTGAATTATTACCAATAATTAGAGATTTTGGATAGTAGAACAACATTGCATGATAACATTTGAATTTTTATCATCATTTGCTGGACAGTTAAGATATAAAAATAACTTCATATAGACTTCATACTTACTTGCTTTGTGTCAGGTCAACAACAATGAGATCTTTTTCCAAAAGCACAACTACAGCATAGGGTTCTTGAAATTCTGTAAGTGAAGAATCAAGTATAAAAGACAAGGAGATCTCCTATTAGTGATTTTAAACAAGCAAGTCATATTTATGTTCTCTAAACATTCACAGTATAATAAACCAAAGTTTTGAGGTACGAAACCTAGACATATCTGCAAACTAAGGCCAGACAGGAACCGAGAAATGACTTTTGGGCATTATTGCTGATCAACATATCTACAAACTAGGGCCAGATTAGAGCCAGACAGGAATGGAGAAATGATTTTGGGGCAGTACTGCTGATCAACATACACATCAGAAATAGAATTGGCATATTATAGCACACCAGCATGATGGTATACTGAAAGTAAAGAAACAGAATATGAATAAGTTGTGTGTATCACTGCATTGCTGAATCCAATTATTATACAGAAAATGTATTTTTGCTGTCCAGTAGTGTGTACAACTGTTCTGCAAAACCAGGTTGTGAACAGCTGGTCCAGTCCACTTGATGACACACAATGCCCTCATTTCCAAAGTGATTCCAAAGGAATATTCCAAAGGAATCCTGTAAGTCTGCTGTGTTCAGTTCAGATACTGACACACTCCTTCCTCCTGTTTTTTTATTTAATGACTTTTTTGTTCATCAGCCCCCCCTCCACCCCCCAATTAAAATGGCAAATAAATGCTTCCCTTGATGCATAGGTTGCATTAGTTTACAGAGCATGAATTATTAAAAATATATATATATAAATGTGAAATTATTACTCTCTTCAACAGCAGCAAACCATTCCAGTATATGCAAGCTCAGAGTACACTCTTCAGATGTCTGATGCCAAAAGACTGAGTAAATCGACAACAGCTGATTTATCTTCCTTTCAGGCCAGCTACAAATGCACATTATTTGTGGTCTGTTTTTATACATGGCTAGGAATACCACAGGTTAAACTAAAATTCTTAAATATTAGTGTGTGAGCAGGGGAAGGGACTACAAAATTTTCGTACTGGGAAGTGTCACTGTATTTAACACAGCTAAATGAGGGCCCAAACTAACTTTGATTACTGAAAATTAAATTTTCATGACATTGAAGCAAATATACACTTTATCTTTACTAAGTATTTTTAATATGCATTTGATTTACCTACGTATGTAAGATTTATTTTACTTTTCTGCTTGAGGGCTTAAAATGCTAAACTTTGTTTCTTTTGACTTACAGCTTTTCTTAATTTACTTTCTGGAGTTTTCTGTAAATGTACTTCAGAATACGGCAGCTCTACAATATGCAGCAAAACACTTTTACCAGTTCAATTCAGGCTGAAGCGTAAGACCTTTTTTGCAGGTAAGTGACAGTTCAATCCTCAATAATTTAGCAATCTGTAGATTTTCAGCCTCATGAAAAATGTCAGAAATATAAGCACATATGTTTGATTAATAGCAATATTTCCTTACACAAGCCCATATGTTTCAAGCTTATATCTGGAGATTTATGCATGCTTTGTTGTCTACTCATTACTTTGTACATTGAGAATACAAAGAAGTTCCAGTTACTTTCAGTGACGCCATATTCCTGAGATGGAGATAACTGTGAGAATGGAAGTCTCTAGGATGGAATTAAGGCATGAGAGATCTCCTCTTTTATATTTTCCATAACTCTCTTTTGCTTAATGAACTCACCATTTGGATATGGAGTTTCACAAAGAGTTAAAAAATCAACTATAGGGTGATCCATTTCAAGAACTGTAATTGCTTTCCCATGCATGATTGTTAAACTTGGTCTTCGACAAGCCTTATCATACGACAATCCACCAGAAAATATCACAAATGGTTCACTGCATTAAAAAAACCCAAGATAGCAATTATAAGTTTACACAGTACATACAAATTTACATTATAGATTTAGTACTTTTAAAGAATAATAAATAGCTTTGCAAAAAGAAAGAGGGAAAGTTTCTAAAAGGACTTTAACTCAGGAATATAATATCAAGTTAATTACAGAATTTAAAACATACCTGTTTTTACAGGTCTTGTACTCTACTTTAAGAATTGGTTTACAAGATTCAGGTTTTTTTCCATCTCTTTGAATTTTTCCTAAGGAAAGAAAGAAGATGAAAACTGTATTAAAACTTCATAATAATAGAACTATCAAAAGAAAATGTACACATTGAAGCAACTGTATAAGCAGTAAGAGAACATAATTTTAAAGCTACAGAAGATGGTAAGTATTAGCTCCTATTTCTGTAAAATATGCATTTGTCTAAATTAATTATATTTATTATGGCTTTGAGTATTTACTGCCACATACATCTAAAGGACCATAGATCACACTTCAAAGACATCTAAAAACCACGTAGATTACTGAGAAGCATGACTCTTAACTAATAATGCATTAATTTGACCAAATGGAGACCTTTTTTCTGAACACATTATTATCATAAACAGTTTAATTTTTCCTAAGTCATTCTTAGATTGACTCAGTTCCTTCTGTGGACAAAATGTTACATGCTCTGGAGTGTAACTAGCTGACTGATAAAATTAAATGAAGTGTATAACTGAAATTCATGGGTTCTTGGTTAATTATGGCTCTGTACTTTCTTCCAGTCAGAGAAAAGTCACTTGTAAACAAAAAAAAATATTAATTTTGGTTTTGTTATTTTGGCGAGTCTATGCTTGGTTTTGACAACAACCTGATTGAAGGATACAGCGTGGATGGAGCCAAACTGTTCTCAGAGGTACACAGTGGCATGACAGGAGGCAACAGACTCAAGTTGTGACATGGGAAATTCTGGTTAGATATTAGCAAAAAAATTTGTACCATAAGGGTCATTAAAGACGTTGCCCAGCAAGGTTGTACAATTTGTTATTGGAAGTGTTCAAGTGTCCAGTGTCAACTGGACACTGCCTTGCCCTAACTGATCTAATCAGGCCTGTTTTGAGCTGGATGTTAGACTAGATGACCTCCAAGAGGTCCCTTCTGACATAAAGTACAATTCTGTGACTAAAAATGATAAAATAAAAGGAATTAGGAAATTTAAGAAAATCCTAGAACTTTTCTGGGCTACATAGATCTTGCCTTCTCCTTCTTCCTCTCCCTCCACCCAGCCAGGCTTCTTGGTAACCTACTTATTTGCAATAGAGTTAATACCTTTTAACCTCATTTATAGGAAGCAATGGCATATACAGTTCCAGACATAAAAGATACAGCCATTTCTTAATACAGCTCCTTTAAATTTTTCATTGCAGTGATTTGGGACGCTTTCTAGCATCTTAATAACAAGCAACACAATGCCTTGTACAAAATTTATTACTCCTTGTGAAAATTGCACATACAAGCACGTAAGTACAAAATATAAAAGAAAGAAAAGTGCAAATCCTGTAGCCTGAGAGCATCAAAGACTAGCAGTAGACTATTAAGATGAATTGGATAAAAGAAGATATTAGAGTAATGTTATCTAGTAAGAAGTATTTATGACACCAGTTAATAATAAAAAAAGGTTTGACCAAAATTGCTCTCTGATTTTCATATTTTGCAGCTACTTTGCAGATTGAAATATTTATGCAAAAAGCAACTCTGGATCTGGGCTACCATAAAAAATGAAATAAGCATCAATATTAAAAACAGCATGGAGAATATTGTATGGTTTCTTAGTTATACATTTTAAGTAACAAAATTACCATGCGGAATTGTGGTCTGGAATGGTCTGTTAGGACTTTTCAGATTCCATAGGGTCAAGCTGCCATCAGAGTGACTGCACATGAACTGTTTCCCTTCATGATGCCAAGCAACAGAATGAATAGCCTACAGAAATGAAAGAAAAACTTGAGAATGAACTGGAATACAGTGTTTACACCAATGATATTTTAATGTGTATATTTGCATTATATTAATCTAATGATATATCAACAGCTGGATGGTTCTTTTTTGTCTAAATTCTATCACTAGCACCTTTTAGTAACCAATGGTTGTAATTTACTGCTAGTCAAGCAAAACAATTCAACATAAATGCTAACATCACACAGGAATGTAAGAAAACCCGTATTGAATCAGACCAAAACTGAAGGAACAGGGTATTATGGTAGAATTATAAGAACAAGAGAAATACAGTGCAATTGTAATATGTCTGATAGCTCTCCTTAGAAGTATTTCATCTGGCAAATGTACAGGGAATTCTGTGTGACAGCTTCTACAGGTAACATACAACACACGCAGTCTTCCGCAGAGGACTATTTAGGAAAAGTAGAAATAGTACTCTGTTCTTGAATGTTTTTCCCCCCCCTGTATACTTAAGTTTCAGAGCAAGTACACAGATATTTGCAATGCTTAATATAAAACCAAACCCACTAAAGAGATCAGGATGTTTCATTGATACAGGAAATTAACAAAACAATGATGTAAGATACTTTTGGAACAGATAGTGTTTCAGAAAAGAGGAATATTGCACTCCTATGGACACAATGCCAGTACCATGTGACGAATGTTATGTCTGCAAAAACCCCAACAATTAATAGACCACTCTTAGTATTTTATACATAATTACTGGAACTGATTGAAAATATCCATAATTACATCAAACAAGCTGAAAGAATAATGATTCAAGTCCTTAATTTTCATTAGTATGTGCTGGAAACTAACAAAAGCCATTTTCCAACGAAGTATTGCTTCATTGTATACCACAGTTTCTCACACACTCCCTCAGAAGCACAAACTCACTGAATTTTCCCTTGAATCCATTTCCCTTCCAGAAATGTTAGCTGCCAAATAGCAAAAAACACAGTACGTTTTATGTAAATGTAAATAAAAGAGACTTATTTTTGAATGCAGTTTAATAAATTTCCATTTTTGCAACCCAGGAAATGCTAAGGCATTGCATGTGCTTACAATTACAAATGGCCATTTACCTGATTTATTCAAATCACTTTAACATCATGCCTGGGTATTCCTAAGTCAGCATTGGAGTTGTTCATATCAATTTTGCTTAAGCTGACAAGAAATAAGCCTAAGTGCTAATGGTCACTATTCAAAACTCCCTGTTGGTCTTCCTCTTTTAATAAGTCTATTGATTGTTATGGCTAGTAGAATCATGGTCTGGGGGGAATATCAGAAGAAACCAATGAAAAAGCTGTGACCCTTTCCCAAAACTTTATGCAGCCCCTAAGGATGGCCAGCATAGCCACAAATGAGCCTTTGCATTAAGATGACTTATTTTTTAATAGGAATCTGACAGGCCTTGTATATGGATGCTTTGCTAACACACCAGTAAGCTAGTCATGCCAATAAAGACCCAACAAACAGAGCTGAACAAAGTGAGCTCTAGATATTTATCTTCAATTGATATGAGTGTCACTCAAACTTCTACACCAGAGGGGGATTGGCACAAAATTCCTCTTAAAGACCCATAAGATACCAAACTGTAACTGAAGCAACAAAACACAACACAGAGAGATGGCTCATACAGAATCCAATGCCACTGTCCTCAGGTAGTGAGAACCTTAGATCTGTGGGGAGCGCTGCTTCACTTACACTGAAGGCATGTCTATCCTCGTGCATATAATTCTGACATGAGCTCATTCATGCCTGCTATCATGCCAAATTTGAATCTGCTTTTGATGTGTTATCACACATAGAAACATTTCACATGGTTACAGTCACTATCTGTGTCTGAGCAGGAGCTGGTAACTAGCTGAAAATTGTACCAAGCTGCTTGTTAAATTGCTTCTCAGCTGCTAGGTACCACCTGCCAGCATAAGCCTCCTGTTGAGTGGAGCTGAGGAGGAATGCTCCTGTCACAGACAGTTGGCATAGCAGCAACTCAAACTCACCTCTTAGACTTTGCCCTGAAATGGGCAAGAAATACTTAGAATTGCTTTTGAAGGTCTCAGCTGGGAGTCATGATTATACTGAAAGGTGATACTGAACAAGTCCCTAATTTTCTCTCTGCTAGAATATGTCTGGCATTCTGATCCACTACTTTAGCATCCACACAAAAAAGGAGCAGTTACTTGCTTAGAACAGGAGTTCATGACGGTGGGTGACTCATGTGAATGTTCACACAGTGTATGCACATAAAGCATATCACTCCAGATTGGGTATGTTTCTCCTTCTGCAATACCCACAGTGGTTGCATACATATTCCATCTTCTCTCGTATTCAGCATGTACTAAAATTAAGCATGCCCAACACCATTTCAGTCCCTTCCCAAACACAAACCTCCTTCACTGAGAAGAACTCATGGGGACTCTTGGACCACTTTTAACTGTATGTTGAACAAGTGCCATACTCATCTCATCCTATTGCTTGAATCTTACCATTAAGGGCCATATCAGATTTGATAATTCCATAACAGCATAGTACTTTATAAAGGTAGGGAGACGTCATTTAACAAATGCCTCTGTGAACTCTGCAGCTTCATTTTGGAGATGTGTTCTGATGAAAGACGATGACTATGCTTCAGGAAGCTCTGAATGTGTGTTGACAAAACCTGTCAAACTTCTGAACGGTCTGCATATGAAGATGGCCGGGTTTTTTTGGGTCTGATAACTACCAGCAATAACTCGCGCATCCTTTGAAAGATCTGGCTTGTTTATGTGTTGTCTTTTATATAAACCAATGGAAATAAACTTTTGATGGAATTTATAAAAGGACTTGCAAGGAAAGTCTTTATTATAGCAGGCATCATATAGGAGCATTGATTGAAAGGCCCTGAATATCTCATACATATCACCACTGAGAAGATGACAATCATCACACAAAGAAACAATTTTGCAGCTGACATCTTGAAGAGCAGACACAAGATTCTTTAGTAGCAAGTTCAAGCTCCAGTCTGGCAAGTGAGAACATTTTAGTCTCTTGAGAAGCTTTGACACAGTAGGGAAGAATACATAGAAAGTCCTTGTGTCAGAGGCAGCCTCTAACTGGTCATCAGTGGGGCTAAAAGACAGATAACACTACTTTTAGCTCTGGTGAGTAAACCATAAGTATTGAGGAGAAGCTTTAATAGGAAGATACAGGCTGACAAGAATACCAAGCAGAGAAGTTCCAGATAATGCAACTTGTACAGCTTTTTCTATCCTTGGTGAGAACTTCTCTCATTTGAAATGAGCAGACACGTTTTATCTATGAAAGGTTACAAGCCTTCAATACATGAACTAAGCATGACAAAGACGGAGTAAGGAGTGCAGCTGTAAACGTCGCAATTGCAGGTCTGTGAACAGGGGACAGAGTCTTCAGCTCTACCACTTAAAAGGTATTGGGTTGTCTCAGTGAGCTGTTTATTCTAGGAGCAATGTGTCCATGACATTAACCTGGATGGCAAAGAAAATAAAAGGGCATACTTCTTCACATATTGGACAGATCCTGCTAATATTGTAGGAAACAACTCACCTCCCTATCATAAGATTACCCATATTCTGAGGAAATGCCTGCAACATACGTCTTGTATCCATGTATGTAAGTCTTATGTAATGTGAAGCATCACACTGGTATGACAATGCCATGCAGCCTAGGGAGGATAGGCAAGATTTCACAGTGGTGGTGCCCAAGCAGACTGAGAACTTGATGATACTTTTGTTAACCAACCGTTCAAGTGTGCAGATACGGAGGACCTATTCTATCTGAGCTTCTAAGACCTCAATTAAAAAATAGCACTCAACATAGTGAAAAAATTGAATGGAAGAGACCTTTCAATAGTGGTTCTCACTGCCAATGAAATTAAAGCATTCTTGTGTCTGTATGAAAAGAAATATCTTTAAATTAATGACATATGAAACTATTCCTCTCTATAACAATTGAATGTCAGCAGATATAGTCCCCATCTTGAACTTAAAAAGGAAGAATATTTAGATATGCAGATAGACAATCAGTTACCAGCCTCCTTTCCCCTTCTGTATAAAAAAAAAATCTGCTGTTAACTTCTTGCTCCCGTGCAGCACAGTGACAGGTTCTACAGATCTGAATAACAACAGAGTATCCTTCTCAACAATCAGTCTGGGTAGACTGAAATCCAACGTCGTTGAGAGTAACACATGAGAAATCCAATTGATGCTTATCCCTGTGAAAGGATGAATATTCGGATGGAGTCTTGAGGGTGCTGAAATCTATTCTGAGTGACATTACCAACCTGGACACCTATCTGAAGAAGATTACAAAGGAGAAAGAACTTGCCTTGGTGATGAACACTCACAGTCCATCCAAGACAAGAAAATAAACTGTTTCTCACAGTACACGCAAAGTGCCCCTTAATGGAGAAGCCTGGTGCCAGGGGAATTTTCGGTACTAAACAGAAGTATCTACTCCACTGATAAGCCAGAAAAGATCGTGTCACCCAATGACCCTTAAAGATGCCAGAAGAGGAAGTGCTGAGTTAGATGATATTTACAGTTCTTTCACCATGAAACAGGGTTTAGTTTCAAAACTGGTGTTAAAGAAAGCATAATGATAGTAAGAAAAATGATGCTGGATTAATTTCATTCAGACCCCATTCAAAAAGGCACTTCAGTATTCAATGAAGATAGATAACATTTACAGCAATTTATCTGAGACCTCACAGATACCCTGCAATTGCAGTTGGTGAAGGGGAGCAGGAACAATGTTCTCTGGACTGTGATCTTAGGTGACCAATCTGTAAGAAGAGGCTTAGGTTTGAAAACTTGGGTTGGTGCCATATACCAAGTGGCACATGCTGAATTAATCATTTGCGACTCACAAAAGCTATATAACCCAGGATTTAAAAAGGAACTTTTTTTAGGGGCTTCCTAAAGGAATCCTAGCAGATCTGGAGCATTACCAGTCTGGAGCCAGAAAGTCTGGAATAAAGTACAATGGTTAGTCACACAACTCTTTTAAAGACAAAAGAAGAATCTTGCAATTGTTTCAGTAGATGATAGCAAGCCATCACAAGTTGCACAAAGTAGAGTAATGACACAGCAAGTAACCACTGAGGAGTAAAGCACATTACTGAAAGCAAGGCTAAAAAAAGTTCCTGAGGACAGTACTTGGGTTGGGTTTGGGTGGGGGCAGGGGGGAAGGCTGTTTTTTTGGTAGTGGAGGAAGGACTACCTTGTGAAAGTGATAAGCTCCCCTTGCTCCAAGGTGGAGACCCCCCAGACCAGTTTGGGCCAATGAGCACTAGAGAAATGTCTCTGCGAAACCATATTTGTGAGGGGAAGGACTGTCCTGAAAAGAAGTAGGTGTGGTACCTGGAGGAGAGACTGTTGACTTCATATAGACCATGGAGGACTCCCAGATACCCACATGTAGGCCATGGAGGACTCCATGCTGGAGCAGAGAAGTTGAGCCTGAGGGTAAGTGTGACTGAATTGAGATCCTGAGAGTCACTCGCTGCCAGAGTAGGGGTGGACCCCCAGAGTGGGTGGTGAGTCTGCAGCCCATGGATGTCTCCATGCTGGAGCCAGGAGCTGAGCCTGAAGAGGTCCGTGACTTCATGGGAAGCTTGCTTTGGAACATCTTGTTCCTGGACTTTCATGCCGGGAAGAGCAGCAGAGGTGAACTGACCATTCCCTGCCCCCTGTGCTGCTGGCGGGGGGGAAGTAGAGAAATCCGGAGCAAAGTGATTTGTGGTTGTTATGTCTCATTGCATTACTTAGACTCAAACTTGGAGAAGAAAAATCAATTTAATTTGTTGTCATTTCATCTGTTTTGCCCGTGACCATAACTGGTGAGTGAGCTGTCCCTGTCCTTCATTCCTAATCCTGTGCCCCCTTTGTTGTGTCTCCCATCCCATCTCAGTGGGTTGGGGGAGTGAATGCAGGACCGCATGGTCCCACTGTGGGTCTAACCACCACAATACTGAAAAATGTGAAACAACTACATTGTATGAGAAATTGTCAATATCTAACCATTCTGTCTCAACAAGCAAATAAAAATAATTTAAATGGTATTATGAAGACCCTGTTTTATGTAGTCTCATTCTGAGCACAAGAGAGGACAGTGAGTGAACAGACCCCTCCCAGGAGACCTGTAAAAGGAAAAAGTTGTCCAGCCTTAAGCAATAGAACAGGTGCAATTTCACAAGTGCACGCCAAGGTAGACTGTCACTTAGAGACAATTTAGTGGACGTATCTTGAGGTTTAAGTGCTGTCCTGTTTAAACTCTGGATTACCCACTCCTTTAGAACATCTGCTATGTGTATGCTCAGAAGCTTAACCTTGAAGCTCAGTGTAGTCTTAATGTGTCTGTGAAAATAGATTTGAAAGAGTGTAGGATTCAGATATATTCAGATTACTTTTTAGTATGAAAATAAATGTGTATACCCCTTGCTTGTAATAAGGTGGCAAGATGAAGAAGGAATGAGAACTACAGGAAACCAATTATTGCCTGGATCACTTTAAAGAAAATCTCCTTTTCTATCTTCGGTTGCAGTTGTATTCACATCCATCCATGGTGAACTTACAGAAGGGCTGGTAGAACAAAACATGTTTTTTCCTAGGGCTAGTACTTAAATAATAATAACTAGAAATATATCTATTTTGAAACAACCTGTTTAATGGTACAAGAACTGAACCTGTGTTTGATCCAATCTGCTTACAAACGGTAGGAGACAATTGTCTGACAAAACTATGAAAATAAAATTTTGAAAACCTTTTAATCGGATCTTGAGTATTAGGTAACACTAATAGCCCTACAGAATAATGTGTCTTTCATTCTAATTAATGTTCTAGTAATACTCAGTAAAGATAATTATATAATTCCTAATATAGCTATATCTCAGATCAGTTCATTACTATGCTCTGTTTAACTGAGGAACCCCACACAGAAGCTGATTAACTTGTCAGAATCAATGGGAAGAGACTGTGTCGCAGTACACTCCCAAGAGCCCAATGTATTAGAACTACAGATTTCACGTTTTGGTTTCTATTGTCAATAACTTGTTCAAAAGCATAGCACAAACAGTAGTTCCAGAAGAAGCAATGTCTTAAGATAAATACCCATCTGCTTGATAAGACATCTGACAAACTGCTGAATAACAGTTTTTCTGAATTAATGGAAACTGCTTACCTCATCATAATAAGCTCTCAGATCAGCTCTTTTAGATCGTAAGTCCCAGAGTACTACAGTCCCATTTTCATAGCCTATCAATAGCTAGAGGAGGGAAACAAACAAAATTATGCTTTCAGATGAAAAAGGTACATACAAATATTGAAGAACTTCATGGTTTTGAGAGATTTAAAAAAATAATTAGGCACTATAAAAAGAAATGTCAAAGTGATGTGTAAGATTGTAGTTTGCACAATATGTAATACTTAGCTTTCAAATTATCTTTCAGTATAAGTTACTTCTCATTTATAACAACTTAAGTTCTAATAGGGAAGAAAAAAAGTGCTTTATACTCCTTTTTTCTTTGTTTCTGGGGTTTTTTTGGTTGTTTTTTTTTTTCCCCTGTAAGATTCTGTGCCTGAACAGTCTTCACAATTGTGTATCTGCTGAGAAAATAAGGCTGTGCATGTTCCTCTCAGCTCTTACTTTCTTTACCCCTGGTTGGAGGGAAACCTGTTAGACACCTAAGAGATCACTTCAAAATCAAAGAGTCACGAGATTAAACTCATTCAGCTACTTATATTCCTTCAACTTCTACTTTCTACTGCTTTAAAATATTTTGAAGAACACCCCTTGCAGAGAGTAAATTGCTTGCTTTCCTAGAAATTGAAAATAAATTAACTGCTATGCTAGTTTTTAATTTGCCTTGAACTAATGTGTCATATCATCATGTATACCTGAGAAATACCAGCAAAGAAGATTTGTCGAAAGATGAAAGTGAGTAAAAAGATGCTCAGGAGAAAAATAAGAATGAACACAATCCTATCTCCTTGTCCCTATTGAAAAGAACTGAATTATTGATCTGGCACTGTATTGGTACTCTCCATTTGGATACAATTAATTTCAGATCTTATGGAAAATGCATTAGGTCTACTTAGGTGTCCTGGAAATTGCTTCACATAGAGCCCATCTTCCTAAGGATCTGTCCTGGACATGAAGACTGGGAATGACCAAACTGGCAGACTCACACATTTCTGATATGGAATATTTTATAAAACTGGAAGTGATAACTGCTTTTGTTCTTTGTACATTAACACACAGATCACAGAATGCAGGCAAGAATTTACATTTTCTACATTAAGAATTTGAGCATAAGAATGACAAGACTATCTCTTAGACTATGAAACCTTACCAGCATCTTTGCTATCATTCACTTTAGCTTGCATAATTCATTAAGACAAAGTCTGGCTGGACTGCTAAACAAAACATTACTTTGTTTACAAGTTAAATAGAATTGATACATCAATGCTGCTATAAAAGAGCCTGGATATACTCTCAGTCCTACTAGATATGATTCTTTATTTTGCCAGGAGAATATTCATTATGTGGAGATGTATTACTTAATCTGGGAATGATTTATAGTTAATACATTTAATACCTGAATATGAACAATACCTGATTACTTAAGAATTCTGTTCCTGAAAAAAAAAATTAAAAATTCAAACTGTCCAGGAGAAGTTCCAGAATATTTATCATTTTTGCTCTGGAGAGGTCCATATGGGATTCTGTGGCAAAGTAAATGTGAAAAGACATCCTGTTCAGAAAGCATGCAGCTAACTGGATAGCACTTGTGTCAGGATGCCATCTGGTATTTTGGGATAATAGATTGCCATTGAGAGAGTGAACAAAGAAATGTCTTACTGTGACTGCTTTTGCTGTTAGTGTAGTGATCCTAAATGGAAGACAAGTGTATATCCAGGAGTCAGTGATCCACAGAGCACTTCACCTGAGCAGGTGCAGGCCTGTGCTGTGCTATCTCGTGCTGCACAGAGCACTTGGGTTTCAGGCCTGTGTTGTGCTGCACATATTCCTTGGCCACAAGATAAACTTAGCTGGCTAACTGTAAAGAAACCAGTAAACTCCCACTTGGTAAGGACAATTACAGTACCTTTGTGCCTTTGTCTTAATGTAAGGCAGTATGTCTCGTGTGAACATCCTTTTGTTTGACAGTAGAAATGGATAGTTTTGGTTGTTGTTTTTGCTTGTTTGTTTGTTTGTTTTAAAAAATCTTTTGAGTTATCTAAAGACCAAAATGCTGACAAACCTCTTCACAGAGGGGAGCAGCACAGTGTACTGTGCCCTTACTGGAGGTTCATGCAATGCTACATGATTTGCGGTTCCCACCATCCTTTTCATATTAACTCTAATAAACGGTATTTTAATCAATATGTTATGGAGTCTGAGTGCCTTCCTTATTCTCATCTTAAGCCAGTAATGCACCAGTGCATTACAGCTGAGTACCAACCAGTTGAGTTCAGTTCGTATCTACTAGTATTCTTTTCACCTCCGCATTTGTACAAATATGTTCAGGAAACTGAAGGAATAGAAAAGCATTTAGTATGTGACCTTGTTTCTTAATAAGCCTTTCTCCCTGGTGAAACTGGCTTGTCTTTTGGTTTTTATCACTCTTTTTTGCAAAGATATCTCTCTTTTCTGCAGCCATGCTGCTTTACTACAGGAACAGTGGTATGACACTGAAGTCAGAACTCCAGCTGGGCCAATATGACTAGTCTCAGTGCCAGTGTTTTTATGATGCTCTGATCTCTGACCTGTCTGAACCATAAACTCACACATTCACACTCCTCTTGGCCATGGTGAGCACCTGAGAGATCTATAAGACAAGCTTTATGTCTATAACAGAGGTAAAAAATAAAACATCCACAAATGCAATTGGTGGGGAAAACATAGACAAAGAAGAATCGTATGTGTAAAAAGAGTCTAGGAGGGATAAAACCCAAAGATTTCTCTTCAGCTTGTGTTTTCTGGCACCTCGTTTAATTACTCATGCTTAATTAAGCTAAGAAACATGCAGAAGGCTGGAGAGAATTTGGAGGGAGGAGTCCTGGCAAGATCTTCCTTGTCTACTGGAGTTGCTCCACATTTGAGTTAAATCCTTCTACATAAAATGCTTTTCATGATGGCATTTTAGGGAGATTTCTCCTTTCCAATCAACTAATTGTATCCTGGCACATGCCAGCCAGCCCCTTCCTTGTCCTGGTAGCACAAAACAGCTGAGAGGAAAAAAAACCCAAGCCTGCCAAATACACACTGTATTTAGATGTTATTAGATCTCAGAATACAGACTCAGAGATAGGAAGTTTAGTCCACCAGCTAATAGTTAATAACTTTAAACCTTTTCCTATTAAGCTTTCTCCAGTTGCTGGGAAACTGCAGATCATTACAGTTAATGTCTTCTCCTGTGTCAGCAAGGAAAATCATGTTTGCTGCAGATCTGCCACTTACAAATGTCTGTGCACTTCAGTCTGTTCCTAATGCACACTTATTCGTTGATTTGGCAGACACTGTTATATTTCATGAACTTAATCACTAGGTCCCCAAATTGTTCTTAAGTGACACATTAAATGCCCAGATTCTTTTTGTCATCTGTCTTCCAGCCACAGCTTGCTAGATTCATAAAAGAGACTGTCTCCAAAGTCTGCCTTGATAGTTTGCCTGGAGGGCACTCTGGAAAAATTTTGAATGGTTGAAGTCTTCTGGAATTACATTCACTTTTTTGGCACAGAAAAACTGGTCATCAGTCCAATATAAATTGGAACATCAGTCCAATATAAATTGGAACTTTTAGGAATTTAAAGAATTTTTAAAAGATGAATATACAGTCAGCACACAAATTTTACTGGCTTTCAAAAAGAGATCTTATGATTGTCCTAGATTTGGAAAAGCTTGTCTGTGTTTTAGGACTCTCAAGCTCCCAGTACCTGCAGGAGAATGCTACTTATTTACTTCAGCAAAACATGTCCAGATCTGTAACCAACTTTGTGGTACCACAGAGAAGGATATACCATTAGAACTTTGTAAGATATACCATTATACCCCAGTACAATACCCTTGTACTTGTAGAGTACAAGAATATCTGTATTTTGATCAATGATTATGACTTATTTGTACCCAGTATTTGATTCCTAAAGCATATATATATGAGCACTTTTATCTGCTGCCATCCATGAAGTGACATGGGGACTCTGATTTCTCCCACCAACACCTCTTGGTGGTCTTTGGTTAACATGAAGCTGAGGAGCTAAGCATAGTATGTAGAACTATCTTGAAACAGCTCTGTTACCTAAGAACAGCTCTACTAATTTAATAACCTTACAGGAAAATTCAGCAAACCTCTTCAGTAACACCTCAAACTAATTTCTCCTGTGTTATCTCTTCTAGTCTGCCTTGTGACCAATATACAGTTTCAGTACCCACAGCACCATTTGGAAAAAGTTTTACAGCTTCTACCCACTGCACATTTGAAGAAGTACTTAACTGGATTGTTTGGAATCTTGACTTTTTCCAGCTTCATTTGATATCCTTTTAGTTTTTGTATTGCAAGTGACTATGAAATGTTTCTACTCTCTCCATAAGAACTGTGATTTTAAAACTCAGAATCACAAACAGTTCTTTTCCACGATGAATTGCCCTGTCTGGCTTGGTTGTGTCTCATATAGAAAACCTTACCCCTTCTCTGCATTTCTTTTAGCACAATTATGGTCTTTCTGAGAAAGAAGGACAAAAATTATACTCAGCATTCAGCAGGTAATTATGCAATAGCCCTATTTTGTTCTCTATTCTTCTCCAGATAATGGCCAATTTTGAACTTTTTTGTTACTACTGAGCATTGAGCTGACATTTTCATTGAACTATCAATCATCACTCAGAGCTCTTGATACCAAACAGTAACGATCAGCTCAGACCCATTGTTTTATACGTAAAGTCAGAAATATTTTTCCCCACACATATAATTTCCCTCAATTTACACTGAATACTTACAAAAGACAGTATTTAACCTGCCATTTTGCCATTTTACTGCTGAGTTTCCTAGCCTCCTAAAGTCCAGCAAACCTGATCACATCACTGCTTACTCTCTTCTAGGTTATTTAAGAATATGCTGAACAGCACAAGTCCCAGAAGTGGTTTTTTGGGTTTTTTTTGTTGTTTTTTTTCCCCCCATTCTGAAGAAAGATTGTTTTATCCTTTGTCCTTTCAACCAAAGTTTAATGAGATTTCGTTGAAAAATTTAGCTCAGTTTTTTTCTCTACTCTTAGATTTTTTGATCTGGAGCTATGTCTTTTGATTTAGGGCTTGGCTCTTTTATAACTGTGTGTACCTTTTACTGATGTCTTCCTGTAAACATCAAACACTATCAAGTCCACATTCTGCAAATCTGCAAGTATTTTGTTAACACTAATTTGTTCTTTACACCACTCTCAATCTATCAATGATATAGCTGCTCTGGGACGGTTTTCATATGGCTTACATTTTCTTCTCTTTCTCTCATAAATTTCCAATGCTTGTTTTTCATAGGGATCCATCTAATTTTGCTATTGCATTCTAGTACTTCATCAGTGCCCAGGTATCTCCAATGTGCCCTCTGAGCAACAAGCAATTGTATTTCCAAGCAAGTTCCCCTCTAACTCCCTTTCCTGAGACCTTTTCATCTTCTCTCTCTGCTGAAGTAAAAATATTTTAGGTTTCTGTCTGGACATGGTCCATGACATTCCTGTAAGAGACGTTAACTCACAAGACCATTTTTTCTTTTAGTATCCTTCCCTACACTGTGTGCTTTAGGTAGGTCACCAACAGCTTCTGTTGTTCTCAGAGAACAAGAGTTATGCCTCATGAATAAATCTTTATTTTTATCAGGTATTTTGCTATACAGAGTTAAATAGCATTTCTTGATGGCTTCTGGTTTGAGGCTAAAACACTACACTTCATAGCATTTATTTACTTTATTTGCTGTATTCTAAATTGTTTGACCTATTGTGATTCTTCGAAAAAGGTTTAGGGATCCAATCTAACCTGCTGGAGGGCTAGCTGGCAAGTGCATCATTTGCACATAATTCACCTTGCAGTATGGATAAGTCCAAGGATGGATAACGCAAATGAAATTCAGATGTAGTCATCAGTGTTTTTCTAGGTACCCATATTAATTTCAGCACAATGTCCCCCACATCAGTATCAGAAATTCAAACTGCTGCTAGTTTCCAACAACCAGCAGCTGTTATGTGAGGCACACTGTCAAATCCATACACCATTTGTAAGATGCAGTTCTTTACAAATACACACTGAAATACAATTGGCAAAAGTGAGCAAAAATGATTAGAGAGTTAAATGCCCCTTCCACACAGGCAAAATGCTCAAAAATTCAGTAGCAACACACAAATAAAAAAGCTCTAATGCTTTTTTTTTGCTCTGGCAACCAAATTTCATTTTGGAAAAGCTACCATACAAATAAAGCCAACTCAGATTTTGCCTCCTGATGTTATCGATCTCGACCCTAGCATTCTGACTATGTTTTGCTTCCACTTGTTGACGAGTCTTAACCATTCTCAACTCTGTTCATAAACAGCAGCAAGTTCCAAATATGGGTTACTATTACTACTCTTCTTGTATAAGAAAAGTCTTACTATCTCATGAAAACTTACTATAACGCCTTCCTAATAGTATTGTTTATTCGAGTACTGAAGTCATGATACAGTTTTCAGTCAATTCTTACTTAGGCAAAACTCAAGTTTATTTAATCAGGAACAATTTTTATTTGTTATAGGTTTCAAAGTACAGTATGTTGACTGTATCACAGATTTTTCTTCTCATTAAAATTGTATAAAGAGGGGTTTTTTTCTTAAATGCTCTAAAATATTAAAAGTGATCTTGCAAATATATAAAGAAAGCAGATGATAAAATTAGTGAGTAAGCAAAAAGAAAGAGCTATCAAGGCAAATAAAGGCTATGAAATGTTGCAATATTTTATACTATTTGTTGTACTCACTTTTCCCTCATCTCTTGGGCTGTCACTTAAATGTACCACTGGCCCAGGGTGAGTCTTTGTGGATCTGCAAGACAAAAATAAATTCAAATCTATGAATGCTTTTTGTATTAAGAGCTAGATGCTTACCTTGATTTCTAGATGGGTTAACATGTACCCCCAATGGCTTGCAAGTAATTCTAAAAAGCCTAACAGGAGAAGATAACTATTCGAAAGTTATCCATATCTTTTCATGTTTTCTTCTATTTCCTTTTTGCTGTTACAGGCAAAGATTCTCCTTTGTTGATTAATCTTTTCTTCTATTTTTAAAAATCTCACTATTCTTCCTATTACAGTCTTTCCCCCGCTCCTCTAATTTCTAAGGCATTTTTGTCTTTTCTGTTGTCAGCTCCCTCTCTTTCTGCCATCCCTCCTCACTTACTCAATTTCAAGACTAATTTGCCAAGGATTTGCAAAGTCTTCACTGGTTTAATTTCAATTATTGATAACAAGCCTCACTGAGTTCCAATCTCATTAATGACAAGGCTTCAGTAAACCCACCTACACTGCTCTATCAGGTAGCTTCTTAGAATTACTGCAGCAGGATTTCAGAAATGGAGCATCTTGCCTTTGTCTATTCTGTAAATCCTTATGCTATTGTGAGACCCCACTTGGAGTAGGGTGTCCAGTTCTGGGGACCCCAACATAAGAAGGAGTGGCCACGAGGATGATCCAAGGGCTGGAGCACCTCTGTTATAAGGACAGGCTGTGAGAGTTGGGGTTGTTCAGTCTGAAGAAGAGAAGGCTCTGGGGAGACCTTCTAGCAGCCTTTAAATACCTGAAGGGACCTACAGAAAGGCTGCGGAGGGACTTCTTACAAGGGCAGGGAGTGACAGAACAAGGGGTGATGGCTTTAAACTGGAAGAGTGTAGATTTAGATGAGAGATGAGGAAGAAATTGTTTCCTGTGAGGATGGTGAGACACTGGCACAGGTTGACCAGAGAAGCTGTGGCTGCCCCCTCCCTGGAAGTGTTCAAGGCCAGGTTGGATGAGGCTTTGAGCAACCTGGTCTAGTGGACGGTGTCCCTGCTGATGGCAGGGGGTTGGAACTAGATGATCTTTAATGTCCCTTCCAACCCAGACCATTCTATGATCTTCAGACCAACTAATACAGTTATACCCACAGTGCATGTTCAGTGAGACTCCTCAGCCATAAGACCCATCCCATCAATCTTCATAAGCCTGCATAAAGGGGAATTACTGTTCTTGCTGTCCCCTCTCGTTTTGTAACATGTACCAACAACATAGTATGCAACTTGGCACAGGGAGTGCTGCTTAAGTCATTGTTGTCCAGCACCTGGCAGCAAATACAAATCATAAGAAACTGAATACACAGATGAAGATTTTTCAGCTGTCGTCTTTCCTGACCAGACTTTTAGGCCCTGGAAGTCATACAGAGCAAGAAGATAAGCACCAGCCCACAAAGCTTCAGACTATTTGAATGCCTGCACAGAACAAGAACTTTCTTCCATCTAGATTCTAGAGTCAGAGCACATTCAGCTTAGGATCTAGAATCGCATGGCTGGTCTTGGTTCACTAGAGGTCACCAGGAAAAGAAATATGGGAGAGACTGTCAAGGCCCATAAAGCTAAGAATTTATCTGGAAGCCATACCTAAAACCACCTAGGCTCCAAGCTGAAAAACAATCTGCAAGAGTATTAAAGCAGCAAACCAGAACAAAGTTCTCTAGCCAAACTGCTCAAAGGATTTTCCTAAATTAACAGTGTTCCTTTTCCTGTGTCTAAAATACTGCACTATAGCAAAACTGGCCTCTCTGTTCTACCAGGTCAGACTCCAAATCAAGACTGAGAGTGGTATGTAAAAATTCCCAGGCAACTCAAACATTAAAATACTGTGGAGTAATCCATATGCTCATAGAATCCTTCTTTCCAAAATCGTATGCTCCAACACTCTTGAAAGCAGGCACACTTCCCTCTAGCCTGTAGAATGTTTCAAATTTCAGCAGGCACCAAAGCTGGGCCAAAGCAGAGTGACAAAGACCTTGTCTGGTATTTACCTCTGAGTTAAGACAATGAAAAACTACTCCAGACATCCTTAGATCTCCCAAACTAAGTTTATTCCAGGGCAAAGAGATAGAAAACTTCAAGTCACCTAAAGGCCAGATAACCTTTCAAGACTATACCCCACCCTTCACATATGTTTTGACATTAATGCTAACTGCATGCACAAAGCTAGGGGCAAGGTAGCAAGCCCTTCCTTGGTGAACTTTCTCCATGAGATGATCCCATGCCACCATCTTCAGCTTTGGCAGATCAAGTTTCCACAGATACCTGCAGCATGTTACTTTTCTCCATGAGGTCTCAGTGAGCAAGGCTTCTGCAAGAGCATTTTGCAACATATCCCAGCACAGAACTGAGATTGGCAGGAAAGCAGCGAACAGCCGGTTATACAGCAATGCTCTATACAGACTGTCTCCAATGGTGCCAGCAGCAAGGACACATTTGGCTGGAGACACAGCACATGGCAATTTTTGCAGAGATGCAGTTAGCAGGAGATCTAGCTGTCATTCCTATCCAAGCCAGCTCCCCAGAGGGGACCCCTCTGGCTGAGCTTCTGTTTCTGAGTAACCTATACTGGAAGAAAAAAAATAATGTCCACAATACCAGACCTTGAAGCAGGCAGGGTAGGTAGGCAGTGACGGGGAACTGAGGGGTGAGATCAGGATATCTGCAAGCAGTGCTTAGACCCACACACGTCTCGTACATCTGTCCTCAGGGAGAGAATATGACATCTTGGGACATTCTAGGCTGCGTTGAATTGTTTCTGACACAGGTTCACCTATCTGAAATGGTCAGAGTATACTGATGGAAAGAACTAGGTTTCTTTGGGGTACATGGTGCCTATGCCATGATAGGCAAAGGAGGAAGGATAAGAATAAGAGGAAAAACCATAAAGAGGAGAGGCAGCATAAGAAACTTCACTTTTCAGACAGATAAGAACCACTGAGAGCTGACAGAAGAGGAAGCAGAGACAAGCAAACATCAGGCATGACTAAGCTGGCAACAGACAAAATAGTCTGACAGGCTGACAAGGCATACTGGTTTTGGTGGTTACCCCAGCCCATTGAACTAACCAGTACACAGGCTGGGTTGCTTAGCCATACCTGTCTTGGTACCTGACCAGGAATATTGGCAAAATCGTGGCAAATTAAGGGAGAAAGAGGAAGAGTATACTATTTTTCTAAGCTAAAAGTTGATCCCATCTAGGCTGCTGGTAGGTTTGTACCTACCAATTTAAAAGTCAAAACCAATTTAGATAAACCTGTGCAACAACTGTTTTCTTTTTAAGATAACGTGTACCAAAGAATGTATCCATTTGTCTTTGGGTAGAAGCAAACTCTTACATGAGCTGTACTCAGTCCGTGTTACATCTAACTTTAGGCTAATTACACTTTAATTGTCACATAAACTAGGCATTCCTCTGTAAATGATATAAAACTCTCTTTTACTACCAGTCTTATTTTTATCTTATATTCTTGCAGGGATGTAGTCTCAGATTTCCATGCTAAGACCTCAGCTAAAAGGGGTAACTTTCACTAATACAATACATTTTCCTACTTCCTCCATTTCTCTCTTGAATTTATTGTAAACGATAGTTGGAGGATCCTGCAATTTATTACACTGTAATAAAATTTCTTTTTGCTTTTCAGGATATTAGTCACTTTTTGTTCCTTTTAGGAGGATTACCCTGTTATTAGGTTCCTAGCTATTTCTTCAGTTTTGTTTTGTAAAAGCTTGATACACTTTATCAGCAAAGTTGATACTGAACACAGCAGTCTGTGCACTAAATGTATAAGATTTTCTTTTTCCTCATTCTTTCTCCTCTCTATTTGATATAAGTATTCTGTTAATATTTATACTATCTTACTCCTCAGTATTTGAATGGTTTAGTTGTTTTGTATTATAACTGGCTTGGTCAGGCTTCTTTCATTTTCTTCCAATTTTATTATTTTAGTCTGCCAGGTATATCATTCTACCAAAAGACTCGATGAACCACTGGTTTGCTTTCACACACACACCACCAGTCTTTGGTTCCATTCTTGTTAGGTCTTTTATGTAAAATATTGGATGTAGGTGTCCGGGTGTTGGCAGTGGGGAGTTGCAGGGGGGTCTCTGGGAGGAGAGGTCAGGGCCGCTCTGTTCTGGACACAGCTGGCTCAAATGGACCCACTGCAGGGCACAGCTAAGCCCATCAGCCAAAATCATGGTGCCTCAGGGAAAACAAATTTAAAAAAAGGCAAAAAACACTGGAGAGGCAGTGAGGAAAGAAGTGTGAGAAAGAGCCCTGCAAGCACCAAGATCAGCAAAGGAGGACAGGAGGAGATTCTCCAAGCACCAGAGTAGATATTCCCCTGCTGCCCATGGAGAGGACCATGCCAGAGCAGAAATCCACCCTGCAGCCTGTGGAAGACCTGGAGCAGGTGGATATTTCCTGAAGGAACTGCAAACTATGGAGAGCCCACAGGGGAGCAGATTTATCCTGAAGGACTGCAGCCCGTAGAAGGACCCATGCTGGAGCAGGGGAACAGTGTGAGGAGGAAGCAGCAGCAGAGAGGAACTGTGATGGAATGACAATGACCATCATTCCCCATCTTCCTGCACTGCTCAGGTGGGAGGAGGAGGAGGAGGTAGAGGAGTTGGGTATGAAGGAGTGAAGTTGAGCATAGGAAAAATGGGGGTTAGGGGAAAGGTGTTCTAGTTTTTGTTTTTCACCATTCTATTCTATTTTAACTGGCATTAAATTTAATTACTTTTTTCTAAGTCAAGTCTCTTTGGCCCATTGAAAGTAGTTGGTAAGCTACTCCCCATCTTTATCTCAACCCATGAGCTTTTCCATCTTATTTTCTTTCCTGTTCTGTTGAGGAGGGGGAGTGGGAGAGTGGCTGGGTGAGGGGGCCTCACAACCAGCCAAGGTCCACCCACCACAAATACCTTGATTGCTTAACAGCTACTAGCTTTAATTATACATAGGTAAGATGAAATGGAGACTCTATTAAATTTGGCAGTC